AGAGAGGGCTCTGAGTGCTGCCTCTGGCACCCGTGCCATAGGTTTGCTACCACTGTCCTTGGGTGACAAGAAGCTTCCAGCGTTTTTCAGCTCGCCATTCCCTAGTTACACGCCTGGCTCTTATTTACAATGCAAAAATGTTCCCTGGATCCGGACCTAAAGGGTTCCTGCTCTTCTCCTTGCCCAGGACACTGGAGGAACGTGCTCAGAGGCTTTTCAGCACAAAGGGCAAGTCCCTGGAAGCCCTGGATCCCTCTCTCTTTGCCAAAAATCCGAAGACAAAAGGGAGCAAGCGGTGAGTTTGCTCTGGGTGGGGGTGAGGGTGAGTTGGCATTGCCTGCTCTGGCCCTTCTTGGCTTGGTCCGCTCCTGGGGTTGTCTCCTGTCCTGGGGTGAAGAACCGTCGGTGCCAGCTGGGGTTGCTTACTTGCGGGCACCATCGTTGTCTTGACAGGGACACAGAGCGGAATAAGGACGTGGCCTTCCTGGAGGCCCAGATCTACGAGTACGTGGAGATCCTTGGGGTAAGGGCCACCCCTTCCCCTATGCGTGGAGGTCCCAGGCCGGGGCTGCTGCACTCACAGCCCTCACTCTCCCTCAGGAGCAACGGCAGCTGACACACGAGAACGTGCAGCGCAAGCAGGCGCGGACCGGGGAAGAGCGGGAGGAGGAGGAGGAGGAGCAGATCAGCGAGAGCGAAAGTGAGGACGAAGAGAACGAGATCATCTACAATCCCAAGAACCTGCCCCTGGGCTGGGACGGTAAGGTAAGGCCCCTGGCAAGAAGGCGGGCCTCGGTCTCCTCCTGGGGCTGGCCTCGCACGCGGCACCCGGTGACCCCTGTGGGTCCTTGCCTTCCAGCCAATTCCCTACTGGCTCTACAAGCTCCACGGGTTGAACATCAACTACAACTGCGAGATCTGTGGGAACTACACCTACCGTGGGCCCAAAGCTTTCCAGCGACACTTTGCGGTAAGAAGCGCCACACGGCGTGCTTTCATCTGGGAGAGGGTGGGGTTCCTGGGGTGGGGGGCAGATGGGCTTTTCTGACTGGTTCCAGTCCCTTGCTGGTCTGGTATCTCTAGCAACCTCAGGGCTGCTCAGGGGCTGGGAGAGAGCTACTTTTGCCCCCTGCTTCCCTGGAGACCCTGGTGCCACAGCATTCTTTCAGGAAGAGGCAGAGAATGCGTGCAGGCGTCTGGGGTCCTTTAATTGGGGGTGGACTCTGTGGCCAAAACGTCTCCTCTGCACTCTAGGATTTCTAACTCCCCCAGGCCATTCTCGGCTGCCCAGGAGCAGCCCTTGTTTTGGGGGGGCCACACCCTCGGTTTTACGATCTCTTATGCTCTGTAGGAATGGCGCCACGCTCACGGCATGCGATGCTTGGGCATCCCCAACACAGCTCACTTCGCAAACGTTACGCAGATTGAAGACGCCGTGTCGTGTAAGTGGCACCAAAGCCTCACCTGTTGGCCCTGACCTCGGGGATGGGAAAGATCCTGGCCTTGGGCAGGGGGTGTGGAGTGGCGGGGCAGGCAGAGTCAAGAGGGCTGGGTTTGCATCAGGGAAAAGCCTTTGGGAGGACTATTCTCCTCTCACAGGAGCTTCTGAAAGCTCCCCAAGTGGTGTGCAATTGTTCCTCCCCTCAGCACCAACACATGGCTTGGCTTTCCTCTGTTTTTTCAGTGTGGGCAAAGTTGAAGCAACAGAAGGCTTCAGAGAGATGGCAGCCAGATACAGAAGTAAGTTGGGATAGGAGGGGGGTCTTCTTAGCCCTTGTGTTGCAGCACCTGAGCCCCCGGACCAGACTGGAAAGTCAATATAACCTAAGGCAGTGGTGGCGAACTTATGGCACGGGTGCCAGAGGCGGCACTTGGAGCCCTCTCTGTGGGCACACACATGCTGTCACCCCAGCCCCGCCTCCCCCCGCAGTCCCCCCTGGAGGAGAGTCACCCCCAGGTGCAGCCTGGGCAGAGCAGAGCAGAGCAGCCAAACACATGGCAGGTGGGCAGCAGATGATGCTGAGGGGCATGGGCCACCATGGTGCTGCAGGGCCGCCTGGGCAATCTGCGGCGGGCCATGGATAGCCCTGAGGCCAGGCAGGGTGAGGGTGGAGCAGGGTGGGGGTGGTGGGCGGAGCAAGGGCAGGCTGGAGGCGGGGTGATTTTTGGGCACTCGGTCTCTAAAAGATTCACCATCACTGACCGAAGGGGCTGAGGAAGAAAGAAAACCATTTTGTAATGACACTGGCCACTCAGGTAAACAACTGTTGAGCTACAGTAAGATACTACTTTATGTAACTCTTCTATTTCATTTTGAATCATCCTTGTTATGTTGTGTTACAAATGCACTGCCCCTTTTCAAAGGATATTTTTAAAAAATTTAAATTTCTTTGGTCAGGGTCTCTAGGTTAAAATGCTCGGCCTTTCTTGTTTTTTTTCACCGCTACTTTTTCCCTAGTAACTGCCTCTCAGCTATGGTTTTTAAGTAGAACCCCAGCTTTGGGGTACATAGAACATTTCTATGTTTGCTGGCTGTTGGTGTACTGCCATCGATAAAAAGGTCAAATCCACAGACTTACTAAGGTTATCCTGTTCAACATTACAGCTTAAGGCCTTACATTTTGTGTAGGGTAATAAAAGGTATCAAAGACAGCATGCATTCTGACAAAGGAGACTCCACTCCAGCCAAGACATATACCTCAGTTTCTGAATGGTATCTTAACTTCCTATTAATCCTGTGTAATGTTTAGTAGGGATAGCAAAATGAGAAATATCCTTATGGAATGGCAAAGTAACTGCCTCCGAGAGATTAAAAGGGAGGGAGGTGAAAAGAGATATCTGGGGGAGTGTGTGTGTGTGTGTGTGTGTGTGTGATAGACCAGTCAAGTGCAGCAAAGGAGTCATAAAAATGGTGCATATGGGTCAAAAGTAGGCCTATAGGAACAGCAGCAGGAAAAGAGTTGGCTGCAGCAATGGGCAGGGAACTGGAAACTGAACATGCCAGACAGCAGGTGAGGAAGAGCCCCTTCCCACCCCCAGTCATGTCTTGAACTAAAATGAAGAAAGGAAGCTGCATTCTTCACAAATGGACAGGCCCAGGGGCATAACTCCAGGAGTGTTCCAAGGTTATACCTGCAGCCCACAGAAAATAGAAGGGGCGCCTAGCACAGAAGTGAAAACTTTTCCATTCGGACGGGTCAAAATCCTTGAATTCTCTCACACAAAGAGAGTGCCTTGCTGTCGTTTTGTGTTGGATGTTTGGCTTTGCGTTTGGCCGTCAGCAGCTTCGTTTATTCCAGGAGGAATACGAAGACTCCAGTGGGAACGTGGTCAACAAAAAGACCTATGAAGACCTGAAACGCCAAGGTCTGCTGTAAGCAGAGGAATATCCCCCCCCCCTGAAAAAATCACCCATCTCCCCTTGCCTCTCTTTTGGTGACTGGAGTCCTTGTGGGCAGGCATTCCAGAGATGCTCCTAGTCAACAGAACGGATTTTGTAAGACCCTTGCTTTATGTGGAACTGATTACACAGAAATAAACTACTTTTAAAGGCAGGAGGAATGAGCGTTTGGTGTCATGGTGTAGCCTTGTTTGATGGAGACTTTCTCCCAACTTCCGTCATTAAATGACCCGTCCTTGATCCCCAGTGTTTGAAGGCCCGCACAGTTCAAACCCAACTTAAGATTCCCTCTGCAGGAAACGTGGAAGGAAAGTTCCTCTTATTTTAGGTAAGACCACAGGAATTCCACGCTGGTGTTCACAGCTGAGGGGCTGCCTTTGGCCCTTCTGTTTCCGTCACCTCTCTTTGCAGCCATGGTTTCCGGATAGTCAGCTCCCCGTTTCCATTTGCTGAAGAGAGCAGAAAAAAAGCAAGCATTGGCGTATTAGACAACCTTGTTGGAGAAGAGCTAGCGAAGTTTTGATGAAAGGCTGCCATGCAGATCTTTCCCCAAATTCTCACTGGTAGAAAAGCAGGCTTCTCTTGCAGATGCCATGTAAGGTAGGAGGTGGACAGTTGGAAAGGGAGATATAAGAAAAGCTGCTAGCCTTCCAAGCGTATAATTTAGGGAGGCTACCCAGTAACTGCTACCCTCAGTTAAGCCCGCACCAATCTGCCACTGAACAGTGTTTTTCCTTTGTTGACACCTGAGCTGCTACTCGGAGCCCCCTGGGGATAGAAAGAGTGGATCATTAAGTCTAATTGGGGCGGGTTTGTTTCTGTAATTGTCCCAGGAAGCGGAGGCCCTGGCGGTGGCTTAACCAAAAGCAAGCCACAGAGGTGGAGACTTTTCTGGGAAATGGGGCAAACTCTTGCTTCCCTTCCGGAAAGCGCTGGGCTAAGCTCGAGCAGACGAGCAGAGCCTGTTCTCCGGATCCCCTTAGGTGGGGGCAGGGAGCAGCAGCTGTAAGTTAAGGATTGGGTCCATTGCATGTAGCAAGATCCCTCGGGAGGCTGAGGCTAATCTGGAGCAGAACCGTGGATCAGAGAGAGAGAGAGAGAGACTGCTTTCTGCCCCTAGGTCTAACTATGGTGCCTGTGTGCCCTTGATCTTAGTGGGCTGATCTCTGGCCTTGACTGGGCTTCGTGTTCTGTGAGATTGCAGGAAGCAGCTATTCCCAGCCCAAAGAGCAGATCAAGCCGTGGTGCAAACTGAGACGCCCACGGCCGCTTCTTGGCTCTCAGAAAGGAAAGGGTTTCACTCTTGGAATCGAAAAAGGGATCTTGTTTGACAGAACTTCCTGTAGCAAATGGAGTTCTCAGATGCTCTGGAGAAACCGCAGTGCCAGGAAGGTGCCCTTCTCTGTTTCCTGTCCAATTGCCATAGATCAGGTGGCAAACGGGGAGGACCGTCATAGAAAGATTCCTTGGATGGGCCACAGTTGATCCAGAGGCAGGGAATGTGTTGCCCAGAGCATCAGAGAGCCAGGTGCCTCTTCTCCCCCACCTTGGAGCGCTCTCGGCTGGTTGGCTCCATCTCTACCTGGGCGGAGATGAGGGCTCTCAAGGGGGCATTGCTTCTGCCAGTGCTGCAGGCAGAGAGCATTCAGACAGACACCAAGGCTCCCTGCGAGCGAGCAAGGTAAGTGAGCAGAGCAGGCATGGGGTCCTGTGCAAAACAGATGGCGGGGTGGATGTGGGCCTGCCAGTTACCAAGACTGTCCAGGTTGGGGAGGCAGATAGCAAGCCAGAACCTACTCCCTTGATGCTGGGAGGGATTCCCAGGGAGTTAGCCAAGAGACTGATCCTCTTTCTTGCGCTTGGATTGTCTGCAGAGGAGCCAAAGATAGCTTACGTGTGGCTTCTGAGCTGCTGCCGGGCCATTTGCAGCCCTCTGGAGCTCTAAGGCAGGAGTCCGCAACCCCTGGGCCATGGCATGCAGGCAACCGGTCCACACAAACAAGCAAAGCCCCATCCGTGGGATGCAGCAGCCCACAAAACCATGCACTCTCCAGTCCATGGAAATTGGTCCTTGGTGCCCAAAAGGTCCGTTTCTCCACGGAATCGGTCCCTGGTGCCCTAAAGGTCAGGCACCTCTGCTCTAAGGGGACAGAGGCAGGTGAAATAATAGGCTGCTGTGTCTTCACCCGTGGCCTATTTACTCCGGTGCAAGCTCAAGCAGGAACTAAGTCAGGCCAAGGTTTTCCACAAAATCTGCGTTGCGTCATTGGGAAGGGTCCGAACAACCCCGATTCCTGGGCAGGGCTCAGCCTGGTTCCTGAAATACCCAGAGGGCTGGCTCAAGAAAGGTGGGGATGAATTTGGGACTGGAGAAGGACTTGCTCGGTCTACCCAACCCGCTGGGCGTTGGTTAGCACAAGGAGGCAAGGGGCAACTTTCTGTTTTTGATGCCTGTCTGGGCGTCCCTTCCCTCTGGGGTTGAACCAAACACGCGTTGCTGGGCCAACGCTGCGTGTCATTAACCTGCAGCCCTGGGCCTTCGGGTTTGTCATTTTCCTGTCTCCCTGGCAGCCACAAGTCACTTTGGGGCCTGCTGGGCATCCTGGAAATGAGCCCAGTGCCATCCTAGACCATGCAGTTCACTGAACAGATCGCAGGTTAGCTGCCTTCTGAAGAGCCAGGTCATCTCCAATGCCAGCTCATGGAAGAACAGTTGCCTTGTGGGGCTGCAGGCTGATGTAAAGGATACGCTAGAATGGAGGAAGCAGAGACCTGGAGAAAGGGGGCAACGCCGGCCTCGTTAATAGAAGAAGATCTCAGAATTGGGGTGGGTTGCAAATCGATCCAGCCGTGTGACAGGACTGCAAAAAAAATGCAACTCTAAGCTCCATCTATAGAAGTGTTTTTCCAGATCAAGAGACGGTTCCAATTTATTTTGCTCTGGTGAAATCTCATCCCAAATATTAAGTTCCGTTCTGGGTGCCCCGTTTTAAGAAACCTTCAGAGACACCAGAACGGGTTCAGAGAAGGGGTCAAGGAGGACTCAGTAGGACCACTTGCAAAGTGAGTTTTGAAGGAGCTGGACACTCTTATTGGCCTTAAGATTGAGGGGAACGTGATACCATTTTCTTTCATCTAATCCAGGGGTAAGCAACCTTGGCTCTTTTATGACTCATGGACTTCAACTCAGCATAGCTGACTCAGGAATTCTGGGAGTTGAAGTCCATGAGTCATAAAAGAGCCGAGGTTGCCTACCCCTGATCTAGTCCAATCCCCTCCTTAAGCAGGAGACTCTATATTGTTCTGAATAAATGGCTGTCCAGTCTCTTCTTAAAAGCCTCCAGGGATGGAGCATCCACAACTTCTGGAGGCCAGCCGTTCCACTGGTTGATTCTTCTCACTGACAGGAAATTTCTCAATTCCAGGTTGCTTCCCTCCTTGATTAGTTTCCATCCACTGTTTCTTGTCTTGCCCTCAGGTGCTTTGGAGAGTAGGTGGACCCCCTCTTCTTTTGTGGCAGCCCCTCAAATATTGAACACTGCTATCATGTCTCCCCTAGTGAAGGAATGCAGAGGGTGCTTTGTCAGTTCTGGCCACCAGCCACTGGTGGGATCGGAGGAGCCAGGAAGCTCTGGACTGTCCCTAGCTAAGCTGGGGAAGTACAGTCGTGACCCAAACACAACGGGGGCTCCTCCTTCACCCTGGCTGGGGTGAGATGCCTTGACAAACAGCCACTGTGGAGCACCCAGCGTCAGCGGTTGTGGTAGCACAAGCGGTGACTCTGCAGCGATCAGGATTCAGCAGCTGGTGGGCTTGCCTTGTCCCATGCATTCAGCAGCCTGGCTGGGTGGGAGCCTTCCCATGGCCTGGCATGCTGCGTGGAACATGTCTGCTTTTCCTCTGCAGCAAAAGAAACACAAACCTCTGCAGGGAACATTCCTCCCCTCCATCTAGAGAAGCTGGTCATGTGCACCAGGATGATCCGCCCCAACTTCCACATCCTTTCAGCCCAAGGTAAGAGGCCTCTTCCATAGGTCCTTGGGGAAGATGGCTGGAGGAACAGACCGCCTGGCACCAGGCGAGACTGAAGCGTGACATCTACCCTTCCACTCTACTTCCATTCTATTCTACTTCTGCCCTACGGGATTTCTGCCCACCAAACGCTGAAGCCTGGCCCCAGGGGATCCCAAAAGATACACCTGGACTTTGAAAGAGAGGGCCCTTGAACTGGGGCCCCTGCAGATTACTCTCCAAAGAACGGGAAATGTTGTCCTCTGGTTCTCCCACCTCCCTCCCTTGAAAGCCCACCTTCTCTGTCTGTCTGCAGGCCTCCTTCTCCTCTGCGCTCTTTCCTACTTTGGCGCCCGGGGTCCTTACGCAGAAGCAGGTGAGATGGATGGCTGTGAGACCCAAAGCAAAGGCCCAGGCAGGCCTTAGTGGGCGGGGGCGGGGGGGAAGAGGGACCACTAGACCTTTCTACCATTATTTCCCTTGCCGCTCCGAAATGCCCAACCGTGCTCCTGTTCTATCCCGCAAGACCCCCATTGGTCCAGCTCCTCACCCCTTTTTGTCTGCTCTCACTTTTTCCAGAGCCAGACGCGATCCCTGGAGCAGACATTTTCTCCAACCATTCCCTGAACTGGACAGGTGTGATGCCTGTAAGGAAACTGGGCCACTGAGCAGGAGGGGAGGGGGGGCATGTTCTCCTTGGCTGGACAGAGAAATGGGGGCCCTTTGAGGAAGGGGCAGGCTGGGCTGGGCTGGGTGGAAGGAGGCAGCAGGGAAGAGCCATGGGGAGGCTTGTGGGATGCCATAGAGGCACGGCTGGCCCCCAGCGTGTCGGCACAAGGAGAGGTTTGACCTGGTCGCTGTGTGCCTGCAGCTCCCTCTTTTACAGCAGCTCACTTGCCAGAGTTTCCAGTGTTCAGGAGAGAGATGCTACCAGGACGAGGCCCATGGCAACAATTCCCAGCTCTGCCACAATGCTTCACACTGTGAGGTAAGGACTCCAGGGATGCCTAATAGAGGCGGGGGGAGAACAAGGGGTGCTCCTCGAGCCTCAGCAGGGACTCCAGAAAAGCCGCTGCCAGCTCTGCTCACGCTCTGCGGCTTTTGCAGCTCTATCGTCTCAACAGCACCAGCTACACAGCACGATGCAGTAGTGATTGCGGGAGTGCCAATGCCACGGAGATGTGTCTCCAGAGTGGCGGGCCGGGCCGGGAGCTCTGCTTTATGGAATGTTGCAACTCGTCCGACTGCCTGCAGCTCAATGCCACGGCATACGGTAAGCTCCTCTTTGGGGGGCTTTGCTCGGCGATGGGACAGATCCCCAGGGGCTTTCTGCCACTGCCTGACCCACTTTGCCGGAGGGTGGTCTGGCTGGCTGGAGCTGTTGGCCAGAGGCATTCTTGGTATGGCTTTCCCTGGCTCTCTCTCTCTCTCTCTCTCCCTTTGACCTCCTTGGAACAGGAGCTGCCTGCCCAGTGCTTTCAGGGGTGTTGAGGGCCACCCTGGGTGGTTTCCTGGGGGGCAAGGAGTCAAACTTTCTCTCTTCCAGGTGACATGGCACTCACCACCACCCCAGTTCCCATCACTACCACCACCACCACCACCACCGCTGCACCACCCCGCAATGTAAGTCTTCCGTGGGATGTCCTCTTCTCAAATGGGGCCAACTCATCAGAGTCGGATCGGCTGCCACGTGGCAACCTCTTCTTGGGCCCTCAAGTGTTTGCGGTTCTAGAGCAGAGGTCCTCCAACTTGGCCACTTTAAGACTTGTGGACTCCCAGAATTTCCCCAGCCAGCATGGATGGCTGGGGAATTCTGGGAGTTGAAGTCTACAAGTCTTAAAGTGGCCATGTTTGAGGACCCCTGTTCTAGAGGAAGTTCTTCCTACCGCACGGCTGAGCTGAGTTTTTTTTCCTGCCTTCCTAGGGGAAGGTTTGCTCCAGCTTCACCTGTCATGGAGAAGGCTGCTACAAACGTCAGAAGTCCTCAACCAACTGCATTGTGGGCCACGACTTCTGCGAGGTAGGAGGTCTGCCAGGAACTCTGAAAGCCAAGCTTGGCTCTGTCAGCTGCTGCTTTCTAAGGACAGATGCTAGCACAGTGAAGGTCACTTTCTCTTGCCAAACCCCCCCCCTCCCAAAAAAGAAGCTGATGGCAGAACAATGTCTTGGGTTTATACCCTCCAAATGTGAGCAGGTACTGCACCTTAGATACACTAGCTCAGCTCACTGGCTCTTTTATGACTCGTGGACTTCAACTCCCAGAATTCCTGAGCCAGCTATGCACTAGCTCAGGGATTCTCAACCTTGGCAACTTTAAGACTTGTGAACTTCAATTCCCAGAATTCCTCAGCCAGCTTTGCTGGCTGAGGAATTCTGGGAGTTGAAGTTCACAAGTCTTAAAGTTGCCAAGGTTGAGAACCCCTGCACTAGCTAGTGGGCTTTTTGTTGACTATAAAAAGTTACTCTTTCTGTCGTCTTGGGATTTCCTGGTTAATTAGACTTCTAACTACCCCAGACTTTGGGCATTTACGATTGAATAGTTCAGTTAGCTGATTTTGTAGCCAGCAGCTGAGGGAGGGTGAGGCTTCAGACCACTGCATCTTCAGAAAGCTGACCTTCTGGATTCAAGCCACCAGATCCACAAAATCCAGAATCTCCCTTTCTAAAAGAAAGATCCAGCCCTTGGTTCCCCCAGCTTGTCTCCCAGCTGTCCTTTAAAGGGAACAGACTCTCCCACCCACTGCCCAGCTTCGTGGAGAGGAAGCATTGGATGTGGGGCCTGTTCCTGCTTCACTCACCAACTGCAACTTCTTTCTCTCTCTCTCTCTCCTTCCAGATGAAAAAAACAGGCGTCCATTTTGTGGCAGGCTGTAGCCAACATTGCAAAACCAAGGGCCACCCTTGCACCCGCAAATCTACTGCTGCCTGCTACCAAGAGTGCTGCCAGGCTATGCCCAAAACCAGCTGCCTGAAGCTGGACGGGAAAGTGCACTTCAACCGGGCGAGCAGCTTGACTTCGGCTTCTCTGCTCCAGCTCCTGGGCTGGGCTTCCCTGCTCAGTCTCAGCTGCTCCCTCTCCTTCTTGGCTGGGATCAACTGATCCACTGCTTGGTGCCTTCAGCCCTCAGATCAGCTGGGCAGGAGGGAACTCCTTCCCCATCCTCACCCAAGTTGCTTCCCTTCTGTTCTCCTCAGCTCCTTTTCCCCAGGAAAGCAAAAGGCATTCAGGAACGTGCTTCTCTTCGTTCTACGCTGGTAGTGCTCAGGTTATTCTGTTTTCACCTCCAATATCAGCTGTTCAGAGGCTCAGCAGAGGCATGTAATGTTCTTCAGCCAGGCTGCAGGGACTCTGGCACGGGCTGAACCTGAATGGTCCATATTCTTGGAGCTGGAATGAGGGGTTCTCGTGGGTCTGCGGGAAACTCTCTTCCAGGACAAGCTCTTGCTGCTACCACTAGGAAGTGGTCTTCCTTGGGATGACTGTGCTGGGCCCCCTCCAGGTAGTCCTTCTGACTCCCTTGCTGGGAACTCTGGGATTGCGGCTGAATGGCAGAAAGGATCCTGAAACAAGGGAACGGTGCCTTTGAAAAGAAAAGGACATTTAGCTAACTCTAGTTTACACCGCTGTCTCTTTCCCTCACCCTCTTTCTTCAAAGCTTTGGTTCTGGCTGCTTCCTTTATTCCCGTTAAATCTTTACCACTTATTTCTTTGTCCTTTTACAGGGCACCACCAACCTTCCCCCAGCCTTCCCTTCCCTCACGATTCAGTCTTTAGTCATAACACTTTCCACATGCGACCATTCTTGCTATGTCCACTCCATATTCTCACAAGACATTCCATAATTCAAGCTTCTCTAAATAAAGCAACATAACAAATAACTTGCTTTCTGTCATTCATACATTTTTCAATGACCTGCTGAACACAAAAATATGATTTGCACACTCCCTGCCTGCTTCTTATAGTTACAATCAGGGGTTGGACTAGATGACTTCCAAAGTATCTTCCAACTTTTTATTATTATTATTGTTTTGGATCATCGCACAGTCAGCCAGATGTTCAGACTGGATTTGGCATTTTGTCTCTATCGAGTCCTTACCCAGGACCTGGGATAGGCAGATGTGGATGTTTGATGGTATTACAGATATCGTCGCAGGATGGAAGCAGTTCCTAGTAAGGCTGCCTTTTGCAATTGACTAATAGCAAAAGGCAGTGTGTTCAAGTGGTGCTCCAGTTGTTGTTGTTATTATTATTATTATGGATGATTATTATGGATGATGATGATTAATTCCTGAGCCAGCCATGCTGAGGGGAAAGGGAGAGGTTTCCAAGCTGAGCCAGGCTGGCTCAGGAATTCTGGGAGTTGAAGTCCACTAGTCATAAAAGAGCCCAGGTTGCCTACCCCTGCCCTAGAACATAATACTATATTTTCAATTTGCACAATATATTGGATTGTAAATTAGGGTCGGACACTGACCCTGGGCTAAAATGTAGTTTTTCACTCTGCCTTTGGAAATAGCAACTTCCTTCTGTCCGTCTTTTATTTCACATTACGCTGCGCCTTTTTCACGGTGGAGCAGTTCTAAAATATATGCTACTATTAAAAAAATCCAACTCCAAAGGAACTGGGCAAAAAACAAGATCAGTCACGTCAAGATATGAGGGGGGGGAAACCGCAACGAGACGGAAAGATAAACCACTTTGCAGCCCCCATCCCAGGATGGGAACCGGGACGGACCCCACCATCTCGAGGGAGGAGGAGGGGGGGATCCGTCTTGGAAGGGCGCACCGGCGCAGGCTGGCAGAGGGGAGACGCCACGCAGCAACAGCGCCCCCTGATGGCGAGGAGCGCACATAGGAAGCCATCGGCTGGCCCAGGGGGGCGGGGCAGGGCCCGGGCCGGAAGTGTAGCGTCACGACGGGCTGTCCCGAGGCCGGAAGCGGAACCGCGGAGGGCTGCGGCGACCCTGGTGGCGGGGTAGAGCGGAGAGAACGGCGGTGGCGGAGGACGAGCCAGCATCATGGCGCCGGGCCGGGCCGGGCCTGACCCGGCGCTGAGGGCACCGGGTGAGGCGACGGCGTCTGCGGGCGGCGCCGGGCCGGGCTGGCTCAGCGCTGCTGCTGCTACGTCCAGGCCTTCGTCTTCGTCGTCGTCAGGCGGGCGAAGGGCTGCGGGGCGGCCGACGAGCCGGCTCTCCGAGCACTTGGGGCCTGGGGCGGGCGGTGGGCGCAGGGTCGGCCGTCTGGGTCTCGGGAGCGGGGCTGGGCTGGGCCGGGCCGGGCCGGGTGACGGCGGCCTGACTCGTCCACGGTTTTCCCTTCGCAGGCAATCCGCCCCGTCTTCCTCCCGTGGCCGTCCCCGAACTCCACTGAGCCATGGGGGAGAACAGCCCGCGGAATGTCATCTACTACGAGGTGGAGGAAGACGACCTGGCTGGAGAGGACAAACTGATGAGGTTCGATGACCAGAATGGCCTGGCCTCGCCTTCCTCCCGGACAATCTACGACAGGACGACCGTCCTCATTGAGCACGACCAGGAGCCGTTGGAGGAGGAGGAGGAGGAGGAGGAAGAAGAAGAAGAGGAAGGGCAAGGCGGGCATCTCCTGCCTTTCTTACACGACGATAGATTTCATTTGATGGCCGATCCTGAAGGCATGTCCCAGGGCTACGTGCAGCACATTATTTCGCCAGATCAGATCCATTTGACCATCCATCCTGGATCCACTCCCATGCCCCGGAACATTGAGGGGGCCACCCTCACTCTGCAGTCAGAGTGCCCTGAAACCAAGCTTAAAGAAGTAAGTCACCCGCTTAAACAGGACCCTCTTTCCGAGAGGCGTCTTGAATAAGTTCTTCACTGGAAGAATTTCAGTTCCTGTTGAAAAGTTGTTGAGTGTTTTCTGGTTTGTCTGAGAATATTATTTTCTTCTGCATTTTGGGGGGCTTAAAATTCACCAAGCCTGCAACTATGTAAGATAAGGTGCCTACATTGCCCAAGCCCATTTTGTTTTTGTTTAATTTCTGTTACGGCCTGTTTCAACTACTGACTCTGGACAGTATCATAAAAACATAAAAATATATACTGTATTTATTCACGAGTAAAACTATTGCCATAGATGTTAATATAGCCAAGAAACGGGACCCTTAACACACTTGGGCCCCAGGCCCAGGCACACAACCAAATCTCCACAATCTTATGGAAGGCCAGCAGAGTCCCGGTCATCCACTCTCTGAAGGAAAGATGTTCCAGAGGACAGGGAGAAACAGAGAAGAGACGTCTCCTGGTTCCTACCAGCCAATATTCCTTGGCTGACAGGACTCGTAACATGCCCAACCTGCCAGACTAAACTGGATGAGTAGAAACTGCTTTTGTCTGCTCTTGGGTAATATATTATGGTGGATGTAGAAAGTCTACACGCCCTTGTTAAAATGCCATGTTTGTGAGATGTAAACAAATCAGACCAAGATTAATTATTTCAGAATTTTTTCCACCTTTAATATAATATTTGAGCTGTATAATTCAGTTGAAAAACTGAAATATTTTAGGGGGGAAATAACAAAGTACAATTACACGATTGCACAGCCTTAAACTAATATTTTAGTAAAGCACCTTTTGATTTATGACAGCATTCGGTCTTTTGGGGTAGGTGTCTGTATCAGTCTTGCCTTCAGGTCACCTCACAATTGGATTCAGGGCTGGGCCATTCCAAAACTTTGATCTTCTGGTGAAATCATTTTTTTGTTGATTTGGAGGTATTCTTTGTGCTGAAAGGTGAAATTCATCTTCAACATTTTAACTAGAGGCCTGAAAATTTTGTGCCCAAATTGACTGGTATTTAGAACTATTCATAATTCCCTCCACTTTGACTAAAGCCCTGGTTCCAACTGAAGAAAAGCAGGCCCAAACCATAATGTTACCATCAACATGCGTCACTGTGGGTATAATGTACTTTTGGTGATGCACAGTGTTTTGTGCCAAACATATTTTTTGAAATTATGGCAAAAAGTCCAACTTGGTCTCATCAAAGATTCATTTGCCCACATGCTTTTGTCAGAAATGCAAAATGTAGCTGGGCTTGGATGTTTGTTTGTTTGTTTTTGAAAGAGAAAAGCTTCTGTCTTGCCATCCTACCTCATAGCCCAGGCATATGAAGAATACAGGAGATTGTTGTCACATGTAGTAAACAATCAGTATTTGCCAGAAATTGCTGCAGCTCCTTAATGTTGCTATAAGTCTCCTGGCACCTTCTTGGATCAGGTTTTTTTTCCCCCATCAATTTTGGAGAGACATCCAGATCTTGGCAATGTCACTAGTGTGTCATATTTTCTCCACTTGTTGATAATTGTCTTCACTATGTTCCATCGTATATCTGATGCCTTGGAAATTTTGTATACAGCTCTCCTAACTGAAACTTTCCAGCACTGAGATCCCTTTGATGCTTTGTAAGCTCTTTGCAGATGATGGCTTTTGCTGTGATGTGAGGATAGGAACCCAGTGTTATTTTTCACTGTATTTTGGAGCTTCCTTGAAATGCTGTCAGTATCTGAGCCATGCCTATCCTTCATATCTACGCAGCAAACCTTTGTGAGTCTCCACCTGTGTATTGTAGTGGATTGCTAACTGAAGGAAAGCCTCTTCTGAGAAATCTGTGTGTAGAGGACATAGACTTTGTCCGTTGTTGATAGAGATTTTCCCCAAGGAAACCTTAACTATATTTAATGAATGTATGTATAGACTTTTTTTTTTATTTCTAAGAAGTCTGGAGTGAGTCTGCTTTTCATTGTGCAACCAGTCGAGATATACTTATAAGGGACAAATGATGATTCATATGGAGAATTATGACACAGCATGTACTTGAATCAGACATGGTAAATCTTTTGGTGATGGTGCCGTGACATGGGCTATTTTTATGATGGATGCTGTTAAGATGTAAGTTGCATTCACTAGAGACATTTAGGATAGGTTCTCAAGGGAAGTGATCTTCTATATATTTCTTAAGGTTGCATAAAATAACCTACAAGAAAAATATTGATATAGAAAGCTGGGGAGCCTACTTTAGCATAGAGCTTGCATTTAGCTGTATTTTGTGTGCCTGCTCTTCTGAATCTACAACTCCTTGCTGTGCCCCCCTAAGCAAAGAATAGGGTCATGGGGCTGCCTAAGACCAAAGGAGGACCTCTTCTTATTCTGTTCAGAGCAAGCAGCTATGTTTGCATAACACGCAAACAGAGTGTTGTGGGTCAACCCTGTGTTTAAATCCAGTGTGGATTTGCTCAATGGCATGGTAGCTACACAGGCTGAAAAAATGTGTCTTTGAGTTCAGGAGATATCATAGAGACTGCAGCCATTCTCTCCGCTGCTTTTGCTGCCTCCTGAACTCAAACAGTAGCTCTGTGACCCGGATTAGGCCAACATTGATTTGAATGATGGTTGTTTGTCTGACAGGTGAAGCGCTACCAGTGCACATTTGAGGGCTGCCCTCGTACCTACAGCACTGCGGGCAACCTGCGCACCCACCAGAAGACCCACCGCGGGGAATACACCTTTGTGTGCAATCAGGAGGGCTGTGGGAAGGCCTTTCTGACATCCTACAGCCTGAAAATCCATGTCCGGGTGCACACCAAGGAGAAGCCCTTTGAGTGTGATGTTCAAGGTTGTGAAAAAGCCTTCAATACACTGTACAGGTAAGAGGATGAATTTTGAAAATCTCGTATTCATCAGGAGAAATGGTTGCTTATGTATGGGGAGAGAGAAATGGGTACTCCTGGTTGTTGGATAATGTCCCCAGTGAAATATATTTTACCCTGTCCTATGCCCACTCCCTAGGTCAGTGGTTCTTAACCTTTTTGAACGAATCGCCCCCTTGAGCCAATGAGGAAGTTGTCATCACCCCCCTCCTCCAACATAACTTCTCAATCACAACATAGGAAATAATTCTTCAATTTATGCAAACACTTAGTTTTGTTTTCTTTAAAATTGTCATCAGGACATATCTATTCAAATAATTTATTTCCAGTCTTTTTCCCATATCTGAACTGTGTGAAAAATTTTGGTGCCACCCATCACTTTATTCCCAAACTTCTTGATACATGTATTTCATTATCATCTTATTTATTCAAGACACTTAAATGTAATGATCACTGAAAACAAAATTCAATTGCAAGAAAGTGAAATGCCCGAAAAGAAAAACAGTAATTATTTAATGATTGAATTATAAGTGAAATTTAAGACGCAAAAAGAAATATAAAAAGGGTAGAGGCTACTGTGCAACGCGCATGAAGATAAGCAATGCGTATTCACATATGTATGGCGTTCTGTACTGAAGCTAGCTGGAAGAACATTTGAAAACACAATTCAATCCACTAATAGCGAGCGATCTGATGTTTTTGTATGACAGATAGACAGCAATTCACTGTATGAAAAAAATCTCAAAAGTGTCCCCAAAACTTCTCGCTCCATCACCCCCATATCGCCCCCTTTTTGTTCCATCACCCCCCTGAAAAACGAAATCGCCCCCTGGGGGGCAATATCGCCCAGGTTAAGAACCACTGCCCTAGATCTCTCACATCAACGCTTGTGGCTCTTGCAGAATTTATTTGCCTGATGTACATCACCCGCACAATGTCTTCCACTAAAATGTGGGCTTTGGTGGGTGTTTTCAGTGTGCAGAACCTTGGCCCAAATCTGTAATCGTGTCAGGTGGGCCTTGCTCTTTCACTGCAGGGCGTGTCTTGGATCAGAAGAGACATTCTCCACCCCCCTTCTTCTTTAGGTTAAAAGCCCATCAGAGGCTTCACACGGGGAAAACATTTAACTGTGAATCAGAAGGTTGCAGCAAGTACTTTACCACCCTCAGCGATCTGCGGAAACACATTCGGACTCACACTGGAGAGAAGCCATTCAGGTAAGTTGTCTGGTTGCTGCATGAATGGCATTGTCTCCTGGGCCCTTTGCCAGGCTTTTAAACAGACGGTGTACCATAATGTCTGCTCCAACCTCTTGGAAGCAGTTTATTCACTGAGGCCTATCTATAATGTATAAATTCCCAAACACATTTCCAGTGTGTACATCTCTGGCCAATGTTCAGTTATCTGGCAGAGTGCACAGCTTCATTTGTTCAGTGCCACTCAACATTAGACTAGTTTGTAGTAGAAAAACAACTAGGTTTAGCACTCTTAATTGCTCAGCTGGAGAAGATCAGCCTGATGCAAAAGTGCCCCTTTCTGTAGAAGCTCAGAGGCACTTCGTGGGGATGTCAAGAAAAATTGCCATCTAAGCCACTTGAGTTCCTGAAGGAAAGGCAGAATTCCTTCACTACTCTGTGTTCTTCTTCTTAAAATACTTAACTGGAATCTGCCTTCCTGCAGCTTATATTTGTTAGTCCATGTCCTATTCTCTGAAAGGATAGAGAATATAAGTATTTGAATTCTCTTGTATCCCACAATCTTCTCTTTTCAAAGCTAAAGCTTCTTTGATGTCTTTGTGGGTTTCATCTACGCCACCCTTTTCTAAGCCTCTTCCAGCATTCTGTATAGGACCTGAGGGGAGAAAAGTGGGTCTTTCTTAATTTTGAAACAGTGTTCCTTTTCACTGTGCTCTCTGTGCTGCGGTGTGATGTCATGCTGGCCACATCACAGAAATATCTTCAGACAATGCTGGCTCTTTGGCTTAAAAAAACAAAGATGAGCGCTACCCCCTAAAGTCAGTCACAACTTGTGGGGTAAAACCCCTGGGGACACCTTTGCCTTTGTATTCCTTTTGGTTTGCCTTTTTGCAGCCGTATCACGTATATTATTTTTACTTAGCTTGGCAACCACTGTCACAAGGGCTCTTATAAAGCCAGCGTGCCTGAAAGGAGTTGAAGCTGGCACACTGCAAGGTTGTGAAAGTGATGCTGTAAGCCTCCCTGCTTTCTCCCGTAGATGTGGCCATGATGGCTGTGGGAAAGCCTTCGCAGTTAGTCATCATCTGAAGACACATGTCAGGACACACACTGGTAAGACCTGGGAGACTTCTGACCCCTGAATCCTTTCATGGCAATTTAAGAAAGTAAACATGTTTGAGTTAACACTGGTGGAGCCTCCTTGTTTTGATAACTTTCATAATTTGCTACATTAGGATTCTGCTTACTAAGAGCCTAGTTCTCATCCTCTGCAGTGAATTTAGAAATAAGCCTGTTGTGAGTATTCAAAATTGTCGATCTGCTGGAATCCAGAGGTTGACGGGTGGATCTCTGATTTCATTGATACGTCTGTTGATTTCTTCCACTGTAGGTGAAAGACCTTTCTTTTGTCCCAGCAATGGGTGTGAAAAGGCCTTTAGCACGCAATATAGCCTCAAAAGTCACATGAAAGGACACGAAAAAGGATCCTCATACACTTTATTCTCCAACAACAACCTCTCCGAGGTGGGTGTTTAGCTCTTTCGTTAAACCTTGGTGTGCTTCATGAGTAACAGCATCAGCAATTAAACTTTTCTAGAAGTCCCACTCCTGCAATCTTTGCAGCTGAAATTTCACAAGGAAACTATGCGTGTCAAGCAATACTCTTGCCTCCAAAACAGGCTGATAATTAGATCTGAACAGTACTGCAATACAATAATATTTATTTCTGATACTAGGATTTTGGTTCATATAAAAACTTAAAGATCAGTATAGGTAGTCCTTGACCTTAGACGGCATTTGGGACTGGATTTCCTGGAAATTCTGGTTACGGTTGTAATTCAAGGCACACAGGGGAATGGACCCGGTTTTACAACATATTTTTTGCAGTGGTCATTAAATAAATCACTGCAGTTATTAAGCAAGTCCACCATTGTTAACCAAATGCTGCAATCGTAAGTGTGAAGTCATTCTTCTGAATGGACTGGCAAAAAACAGCACAGGTCACAACTATGTGACCAGGGGACTCTGCAACTGGTTGCAAAGATGAGCCAATTACCAAGCACCCAAACTGTGGTCAAGTGATCTGGGGGGGGGGGGAGGTGACATTTTGTAACAACCAGGTACTTTGGAGGCTGTAAAGCACCCATTCTGGGCCAGTTGTAATTTTGAACAGTCATTAAGCGATTGGCCGTAAGTCGAGAAATACTTGTACAGTAAAACTTTGAGGACCAGTTGAGGAGGATGGGATTTCTATAAAGCCACTTATTCATTAAATGGCAAATGTGATTTTTTTTTTTTTACCACAACAAACACACTTTTATCTGAGAAGCCAAGTCAGTTTTATTTTTTATCCAATGGTTGTCCTTTTTTCATTCCTTCAAACTGCAATTCTTCCTCCCATCACAAAGCAGTTTTTTCCCCAGCCATTTGCCCACATTGGACTTTTGATTGCTTTCCAACTGTAGCAAAGTTGAAGATTTCTGATTGAGCAGAAGTATCTAAGGCTTTGTAACATACGTTATCTGTTTCTTGTTCAGATTGTCCATCCGCCCAGCCATTACTTCGTCCAAAATGTTTTATTTAACAAAACCATCCTCTGGTTCATAGGATTGGTGACTGATTTTAGCGGGCAAAACTACGCACTTAAGTTGTAGAGCTTTTGAATGCTTTTTCCCCAAAGAATGAGTGGGGACTTTGTCAGCAGGCTCCATGTTTCCAAGGGACATCTTCAGCACCTACTCTTGATACCACTTTCTGACTTCTGGCAAAGTTATTGACGATTCAGTCCTGAAGAATCCATTATATAAGCCATCCTTCCTCTGAATTACAGTATATACAGTAGGTGGCAAAGGGTTGAATTAGGTCTTTTAGCACGCTTTGCTAACACAATTTGCTAAATATGACTTGTGTTACTCTGTGCGATCTATTAGTATAAATACCCAAGTCTTTGTTGATATTTCTGCCTGTTTATAATTTCATCACTGCTTTGTTGAGAGCTCTTGTCTGCACCATTCTCATGTTTTCTTGCTCCAGTTGCAGCTGTGTTATTGGTAGCTTTATATTGTAAATTTTTCTTTAGCATACCCTTTGCTTTACAAATATCAAATGCAGTGTCTTTATACAATTCTCCAGTGCTCATCCCGACTCTGACTTTTCAACCAATCCTACTTTTTGGCTGGAATGTGTGATGCTCAAAATTCTTCTTCTTTTTTGACTGCCTTTGGAGCCACTGCAGTTTAAACAGTACTTATAAAATATTTGCAAATAATGCCAGTTTCAAATACCAATCATGGAAGACTCATCGATTTCTACCAACACACGAGACAAAGCAGGTGGACAGTGGATGCCACAGTTGCAGATGTGCAGAAGCAGTGGTTCCCCAATCTGCTTTATCAAACAAATTCTGAGCCTCTTGTTCTGCCCAATCTGCAGTTGTGAGCTACGCATACTCTTATTGGAAGGCTCTTCCTTAGGCAACTTCTCTTCACACCACCCCCCAAGGTCTTTCCCTCATACCACTAGAGGAGCACATAAGTTCAAATAACTATTTTAACTTCTTCCATTGTTCTGAGCTGCTCAGTCATTGAGAGTTGGGTGATGTACAAGTTTAATAAATAATTGTTTTATTTGTGTATAATCTGGAATTCCTGCTGCTGGTAAAAAATAAGGGAGTCCAATCCCTCCTACTTTGACTTGCCAATCTTCTCTCTCTCTCTCTCTCCGTGGCTCCTCTTTTGATTTGGCCGTCTCTAAAGTTGCCGGCTCCTTCCTTGGAGTTGGGTGAGTCACTGCAGCACCCAGGGGCAGTTCCTCACCCGTGCTCTCTTCTGCTCCAAACTCTCTCACTGAGCAATCCCTTGTGTTTTACAAAAGCCAGAAGAATCTTGGGTCAGCGTTGATCACTGCGCATTCTGAAGTGAAGGTCTGATGCTGTTGAAAAGTGTGACATTCGAGATGGAACCACGCTTATGGCTGTGATTTGGGGCTTAGGGGATTTTGGCCTTCCGGGCTGTGTTGGGTGTGATTGACCAGAACGAGGCAGGTGGCCCTCAGTTCCCCTGCTCTGTTCTGAATGCTCCCTCGCTTAATTTGGGCTCCCTCTCCTCTTCTGCAGGATACACACCACTCATTCTGCCTGAGCGACTTAAGCCTTATGTCCACAGATTCAGAACTGCGGGATAATTCAGATCCAGTAAGCATCTCTTGCCTTTGGTTATAATAGCCCAAGTAGAGGGTGTTGTGTATATAAGTAGCCTCTGGCCATCTCTCTGGAGGAGGGCCTGTGCTCGCCAATCAATGATACATGTTTATCATGCTGCAGAAAGCAAGCTGGCTTATTGGATTTCTCCAGCAGAGTACTGCAAACAGCCTGCTCTATGTTGTCTTTCCTGGGTCTAGAGTTAGTGCTTGCCCTGAGCTTGGGCACCAGATCACTGAACTGGGATGCCTTAACGACGGTTTCCTTTCTGTAGGCACATGGACCAGACCTGAGTACAATCTCACCAGCAAGCATCTTCGAGTCCATGTTCCAGAGCCCGGAGCTTCCTCCAAATCAGGAAGATTCTCAGCACACAGGTACGTGTTCCCTTGGCCATGCCCCATGAGCAGTGATCCTCAGATCGGAGCAGACTGTCCGTGGCTCAAGAACAGCTGAGCTGGCAGCCCCTCAGAGCCCGGTTCAGTAAAGAGAAACGGCACCTGAGAATAAAAGAAAAGGCCCCACGTGCTGGGTCTCCTGTGCATCTAATGCTCTGATGAAGGAAAGCGTTCTCTGGGAACAGGGAGGACTCTCTGGGCTGGACTACCTGGAGGGAAAACGTTGCTCCAGGCCAACTGATGTGGGTCATATCCATGCCTTCCTTACCAGAGCAGTGTAGCACAGTAGTGTGTGATCTCGGAAGGAAGCAGGGCAAAATTTAAGAGAGGGGCAACTTTTCCCCTGCAGCTGTGTGAGCGTCCAACTTATTTATTTATTTATTTATTTATTTATTTATTTATTTATTTATGAGACTTATATACCGCTTTAAGTGCAAGCACTCTCTAAGCGGTGTACACCAGCAAGCAATGTATATATATATTTACATTGCCCCCAACAATCTGGGTCCTCATTTTACCTACCCCGGAAGGATGGAAGGCCGAGTCAACCGTGAGCCGGTGAGATTTGAACCGCTGACCTGCTGAACACAATCAGCTAAAGTGGCCTGCAGTACTGCACTCTAACTGCTGCGCCACTGCGGATTTCCTGGGCTCTTGTCAGGAAGCGCCCGCTAGGGCAGGCTTCAGGCTACAGATGGATTTGATGCTCCCTGTGCTTGTTTGACAGATGCCTTGATGGGAGATTTTGATACCAAGCCAGTTCTAGCAGCCCAGCCAGCACCAGGAGAGACTGTGCCCTTATCTCTGCCGCTTGTTCTCCAGCTTGGCATCTCTGAGCCTTCCCCCCAAGCACTGCCTCCTGCCTCTGCGGGTGCCCAGCCAGCAGCGTACAGCACCCCTGCCGTTCTCCTGCAGCCTCCAGAAGTGCCTCCTTTGAACAGCACGCTTTTGGCAGCCAATCCCCAGGGCTTCCTGCACCACCTGCAGCGCTCTGCGCAGCCCGTGGGGGCTGGGCTTCCTGGGGTCTCGGAGGTCCCCTCTGGGCCAGCAGCGGGTGCCCCTGAGGTCCTGCCCGGCAGAGTTCAGACTGCGCCCGTGGGAGGAAAGCCTGCACCGCCCAGCAATCCCAGGGTTACCATCGCCCCCTCCCAAAACCCAGCCATTTTTCAGTCCGGCATCATCATGGGAGAACAAAACCTCCAGTGGATTTTAAATGGCGCCACCGGGACGCTGCAGAGCCAAGAGCAAATGGTAAGTCCCAGAGGCGTGAGGGGGTGGTGTTATCAGAGCTGTGCAAGATTGCAAAATCGGGTCCCGAGTATTCTGCAAGGGTCTCTTTACTACTGTGGGGAGCTGCAACCTCTGGTCTTCACAGGCTTGACACCCCCCCCCCCCACTTTTCTTTCCAAGCCACAGGCTCCTGTTGTAGAGAAGGTCTTCTTCACAACTGCTCTCCCTGTAGCTGGCAGTGCAGGTAAGTCCCATTGACAAAACTCCACATTCTTTGACACCCCCCCCCCAAAAGAGCTGCTGCTAAGAGTGGCAGGGAGGATGGGGGAGGGGAGGGGAGCCTGATCACTGGTCTTCAGCCATGTGATTTGGGGCTATCTGCATCTCCTTCCCAAGGGAAATCCATTGACTGATGGGCGTCCTCCTTACTAATGCAAAACGGGGGGAGGGGCTCCACCATACACTCTGAGGGGGGGGGCGTAAGGGGCTTCCCTAGGGAGGGCAGCAAAGTTGTGGGTTGCAACAGAGGACATTTACTTCCACGAGCATGAGATTGATGCTGGATAACGCCGTTTCTGCCTCGAGAAGAGCTGCTGAGCCCGAGCCATGGCCTGAGATATCTGACCTCAGCAGTAGCTGCCGGCTTGCAAAGCTACCTAGACCAGTGGTTCTCCACCTGTGGGTCGGGACCCCATTTGGGGTCGAATGACCATTTCACGGGGGTCGCCAAACAACGCAGTCTGCCATTTTTTCCCCCTTTTCCTTAGCTGTGCTACTCCCTTTTATTCTATTGGCTTTTGAAAGCCAATAGAATAGACTCTCTTGAATAGAGTCTAATTCTATTGGCTTTCAAAAGCCAATAGGAAGTGTCCAGGCTGTCTCTGCCCTGCTGAGCCCGCCAAAAGTCCCATTCTGCAAATGGTGCTGCACCAGTTGAGTAGTCCTCGACTTACAACCGGTTGGGGGTCGCGGCATTAAAAAGGTTGAGAACCCCTGACCTAGAGGGAGGCGATGTTGCTAGCCAGCGGCCGCGATGGACACAAAAATGGCCCTCCTGGAAGAGGCTTTTCTCTGAGCCTTGCCTCGCGGCCCTTCTCAAGAGAAGCAGCGGGGGCCTCTCCGCGGAGTGACGCCTTGCTTTCTCTCCAGGGAGTCCCGTGCAGCAGATTGGCCTGAGCGTGCCTGTGATCATCATCAAGCAGGAAGAGGTGTGCCAGTGCCAGTGCGCCTGCCGAGACACGAGCAAGGATTAAGCTGGCAGCAAAGACTCTCCCTCCCTCGTCTCCAAGACCTCGGGGAACCCCCCGGCCCCGGAGCCACAGGGCTTGCCCAGGACGGTGCCCAGTACATCCGCTGCTGCTGCCGCCGCCGCTGCTGCTGGCTGTTCGTCCGCGTTGCCTCCTGCTGGCCAGCAGACTACCCTCCTGGGACACCTGCCCGGCCCCCCAAAGCAGTCCCTAAGTGCCATGGAGGCCTCCCGCTTTCTTTCCCTCCAGAGCCTGGAGACGGCCTCTCCTCTCGTTCCCCTTGAGCCACTCTCGCAAGGGGAGGAGGGACTTGCCTTGGGCAGCAGCTTTCCTTAGCGAAGCCCTGGAGAGCAACAGCTGAGATGGAGGAGGGCCAGCTGCCCCGGAGAGTGTGACGGGATCCCCTTTTCCCCAAGAGGAGACGCAGCCCCGCCGGCTCTGCTCAATGTGAGCCTAGGAATCGGTCACTTGGGCAGGCGGGCTGCGCCTGGCTTTCAAGGAGGGTGGAGTGGAGTACTTCTAGGCTTCTAGGGGCTGGTTCGGGGTAGGTGCCCTGTAAGTAGGGAGGGGAAAGAAGTCAACGTTGGTGTGATAACGGAGACAGTCGGGGGGGGGGGACCTCTCCCTAGCAGCAGAAGGAAAGAGGAGTGGGGATGCCCTCGCGGCTTCGTCTTGTTTGCTAGCTATAGAAAGCAAGCAGCGGGCGTCACGATCAGACTTTGCACATGAGCACAAGGGCTGCTGGCTCTTTCATCTTACCTTTCTGCCCTTCTTGGCAACCAAGTGCACTGCCTGGGTGTTTACATGAATTCAGGGGCTAAAAGGATTTGCACTGTTCAGCTTTATCAGAATGACTCTCTCGGCACAGAGCAGCTCTTGCCTAGAAAACGTTTCTCTCCGATTGGCTGGCTTTAGGGGGCTCAGAGAGGCGCTCGGGGGTCTCGCTGTCGGTCCAGTGGAGACCGGGGAGCAATCCAGCTTGGTCTGGCAAAGCAGACTCCCCTTCCTTCAGCGGACAATTGGGGTGCAGTGAGACAGCTGACCTGCCCCACAGGGGAAGGGGGCCTTTTCTCTCTTAACTTAACTCAGGGTAAAATCCCAGCATAGAATGCCTGGAAGGTTTTGGGAAGACTCCTTTCTAAAGTTTTGTACAACGTTTTTATTTTGTCACATCCACTGTGCTTGGATTTTTCTAGTAATCCTCTTGTTCCTAGGACAAGCGATCGTTGCTTAGGATGCCTGTCCAAGAGCTTTTTCTCAAGCTGAGAGGCAGGCAGGATGGCCAAAAAGCAAAGGTGGAGGAAGTGGAGGTGACTGCAAGGCCCCTTGCAGGTTCCCAGCGCTGCTGCAGGAGAGGGACTGGGTAGCTGGTTGCTGTTCCTCTGTGAGTATCTGCAGTCCATGGGCATTTCTCATGCTCCGCTTCCTCCTAAGTTAAACACAGACAAGAACCTCCTGAATCTTCCCATGTGCCTGTGAGGCTTGTGTAGTTAAGGTGCTTCTTGTTGACTTTGCAGAACTACTCTACTCTCAGTTGGGGTGGGGTTTAGACTAGCGCAGTGTTTCTCAACCTTGACAATTTTAAGGCACGTGGACTTCAATTCCCAGAATTCCACAGCCAGCATTGCTGGCTGTGGAATTCTGGGAGTTGAAGTCCACGTGCCTTAAAATTGTCAAGGTTGAGAAACACTGGAACTAGCGTGTCCCTGCATGGATCTTGATCACATGTTAAAAGAGTGTTCCCTTTGCTTGTTGCTGCCTATTGGAAAGGTTGCCCCCTCCTGTGACTTTGGGAGCCAGCTCATTCTGTGGCTTTGCTTACGGGCCTAGAGTTGAGTAACTTAATTGTACCAAGACTCCAGGGAGTAAAGAGTCCCCGGGGATTTCATCTCAGCTGTGTATTGAGGGGTGGGAGCAAGTCGTTAGAGCAGGGAAAGTGGGCAGCTTCTGAGATACGGACTTCATCTCTCAGACTTCTCAGCACTGATTACACAAGCTGGGGAATTCTGAAATTGTAGTTCACAAACATGGAAATGACTGTGTTTTAGAAAAACTGGCTCTGGAGTCTAGTACACACTGGCAGTTGCTTCTGCTATTTTAACTTTAGGGAAGGAATATAGTTCACTGGGGCTGATCTACTTACACTTACTCGCTGGCCTCTAAAATGCACTTTAGTTCTCTTTCAGCTGATGGCTGCAATGTCATTTGTAAATAAGTGTTCACAGTCCTTGGGTATTTTCCTCCTTTTTGTTCCGAGTAAAAAAAAGTATGTGGTGTGCACAAAAAAAAAAAAAAAAGTACTTAACTTCAGTGCAATACATTTAGCTAGAAGTGTCCACATGCACTCTGTGAGTGTGGTTATATGTGTGTATTTGTGTGTGCGTGTGCACAAGTGTGTTTATGTGGGATTGAGGGAAGGGGTGCAAAACCATCACTATGCCCTTTTCTGAGTTATGCATCTTTAAGCAAATGTCCAGTCTATGCAAAACCTCCATTAGCAGCCTGAATAGACTTGGTCAAATCAGAATCTTTCCAGTTTTGGTCACTACTCGGAGACCTTCCCAGCTCTGTCCTGCTCCTCACAAGGGGGGGAAGAAACCGGCTGCTCTTCATTGGTTGTGAAGCTGTTCTGAAGACCGTGTTCCTGCTCTCTGAGTGCCCCACCGCTGCATTGTCTGTCTTATTTCCAAGATGCCAGATGTTCCAGAATTTCAAGGTACCAGCAAAAGACCAGCTAACCTTGGAAGAGATGACAGTAACACTGGCAAGTTCTCATCTATTAAAGGACAGGAAATCTTGTTCGGGGCGTTTGTTGGCCCAGGAAGTAAATGCTACTCTCCTATCATATCTTTTGCATTCACTTCAACAGTCTAAAAATAGCATCTCCTGTTTTTAGCCAATATTTCCTGCTGGTGTGGGCTGCTTTTTCAACTTCTGCATTGTTTATTGTTTCTAAGCTTTGGAGTCTGTTCTGCACTAAAAAATGCCAAGGAAACTGGATATATTTATGTATGGTGTGTCTGTGTGTATGTTTGTGAAAATGGGTGGAAATGGTATGTTATCCACACTGTGTTTTCAATAGTGTGCACGCTGGCCAAGGCCAGTCTCTATGCAGTGGACACTTTCAAGTAAATGCATTATATTTTCCTTATCACTTGGGTGTTTTAGCTTTTCTTCCCACATGCAGTCTACACCAATATAGTCCAGGGAAGAACGATTGTTGTTTTTATTTCAAAATATGTTATTTGAAGTTTTTGTTTTGTTTTGTTTTCATTTTGCAGTGTTATTTCTTTCCAAATACTAAGATACTGGCTTAGTTTATATGGGGGGAAAGCAAAGTACCATTCTATCTAGCCACAGTCAGGATTTGGAGTGTAGCTAGATGTGGGACTCTACTGAATATCAAAAAAACAGTCTAAGCCTCTCTTTTCAATTTTGGATTAGTCCAATGTAGGATTAAGGCACACCAGGAAATAGGTATTTCCCATTGTTCCAACCATGAAAGTTTCAGATGCACCTTTTCCTGTTGGGCAGAAAAACACCCTCAACTGGTTCAAGATGGAAGGAGAGAAAACCCTTGAGTTTAATAAAAGCGGTTTCCTTCCTTTTTTCAGCAGGCACTTTCCCACAAAGAATGATTGATTGATTGCTTCTTAGAGTAAGGAACCTGGAGACTCCAAAGGTTCTCAGATAATTTTTGAAAGTGCCTTCCTGGTCCCCTTCACTTTTGGACTGTGATCTAAATCTTCATGATCAGACTCTGACTGGGTTTGCATGAAAGGTTTAGCCGGGTTACGAAAGACTTAACCACTGCAATGCACAACTGTTGAAGTTTGGTTAGTCTTGGTTTGGTAATTGATCAGCCCATTGTATTAATTTATGATTTGAGGTGGCCTGTGAATTGGGTGATTGGAAGATCAGCTTAACGCATGTTGTGGGAACCTTGCCTCAGTGTTGTTATGGCTAAACTCCACAACCTCACAGGACATGGCGGGAGGATTTGAAGTTACCTGTTTCTCTCAGGAGTACCTGTATTGTGTTTAAGCACATTTAGTTTAACTTTGAAACCTGGGATCAAATGTCTGTGCGTTGAGTGATGTGAAGACGCTCACTATAGGTACAGTACTTCCAAAGGAAGAGCTTTCCAAAACACCAGAAGAATAAATTTTAAAAAGTTGTATTTTTGAAGAATGTAAAATGTGAAATAGCATTTGCTACCTGCTCCAGTTTGTATAAAATTAATATTGTGCTTTGAAATATCTGCAAGGAATTGGAAAATAATTTTTAATGGAAGGCAATACTAGTAGCAATTAAATATTAAATGCTTATTTAAATGTGCCTGTGGAAGATTTCTTTCTTCGATAAATGAATTATTGGGGGGGGAAATATGGTGTCAGTTCCGATAACATTCATTTAGATAGCAGAAAGCCTGCAGGGCCCTTCCGTCGGCCTCCAGTCAGCAAGAGGGGGAGCATTGACTAAGGCAGGGGTAGGCAACCTTGGCTCTTTTATGACTGGTGGACTTCAACTCCCAGAATTCCTGAGCCAGCCTGGCTCAGCTTGGAAACCTCTCCCTTTCCCCTCAGCATGGCTGCCTCAGGAATTCTGGGAGTTGAAGTCCACCAGTCATAAAAGAGCCAAGGTTGCCCACCCCTGGACTAAGGGACTTGGTCTCAGAAACAACTAAAGCTGGAACCCCTTTTGCCCCTGCTTGAACAGGGAGAAGCAGGATAGCCTGATTCTGCTCTACCTGCGCCCTCCGGGGTTGGAGCGGCGCGCCGGAAGTGCGTAGCCGGCGCCGGAAGAGCCGCGGATGCCGGGCGGCTTGGTGCGGTGGGCCATGCTGGTGGCGCGGGGCCGGCCGCTCCCTCCTGTCGCGGGCGGCGAGCGGCGCGTCTGCCTGGCAGGGGACGCGGGCCAGGCGGCGCTGGCGCGGGCGGCGGCCGCTCTCCGCGAGGGCGGGCTGGTGGCGCTGCCCACCGACACGGTCTACGGCGTGGCCTGCCTGGCGCAGAACTCCGCCGCCGTCGAGGCCCTGTACCGGCTGAAGGGGCGGCCCCCTGGTAAGCCGCTGGCCGTCTGCCTGGGCGACGTCGAGCAGGTGCACAGGTGCGCGGGCCGGGAGCGGCGGGCAGGGAGGGGAGGCCAGCCCAGGCCAGGCCGCTGAGCCCTCTGCGCCCGCAGGTACTGCCGCGTGCCGGTGCCCGAGGAGCTGCTGCGCGATCTCCTGCCCGGCCCCGTGACGCTGGTGCTGCCGCGCTCGGACGCCCTCAACGCCGACCTGAACCCCTTCACGCCGGTGAGCGACGGCGACGGACGGGCTGGGCTGGCCGGTTGCTCCCGGCGGGGGTGGACCGGGCGCCTCGCAGAGCGGAGCTTCTCCCTTCAGCCTCTCCCTTTCCCTCCTGCAGCTGGTGGGCGTCCGCGTCCCCAACCACCGCTTCGTCCGGGAGCTGGTCAGGGCCTGTGATGGGCCTCTGGCTTTAACCAGCGCCAACGTCAGCGACAGGGCGAGTAGCCTCACCGTCACGGTAAGAACGGCCCTGGTCCAGACGGGAGCCTGTGGGAGCTGCTCTTTCTGAGTCTGTTTCAAGGAAGCAGCCCTTTTATAGAAGAGTAAGAAGGTGGCTTGATGCTATCTGGAACTTGCAAGTCTTGTGGTTCTGGGCTGAAGCCAACTGTGCTCTATCCCTTCTTGCTGATGGATTGATGGATTTAATGCATGTGTAAACAGCTATGAAAACAAGAATTGCTGCCAATGCCATAATCATGGTATATATAGCAATAATTAATACAATATTCTTGGTACTGGGAGTGCTACAACATTCAAGTCCCAAAGAACTTGCTGGGGGCCAGGAGCAGCTATTCCAGAGGACAGGTACCCGCCCATTGCACATCTCAATAAATGGGGATGTTTAGCAGACATTCTGTTTTTGGATTGAGTTGGCACAGTTTCACTTGGCCTAGGCCAGAATCCTGCCTGCTTTTTCCATGCCTCTCTAGCTGTTGCCCCCTCACAAACACACACACCTTTCCTCACAATATTTCTTGTGAAGTCTACTAAGCAGGTTCTAGGAGCTCATTTCTTATGTATCTTTTCTATAGGAATTCCAAGAGCTTTGGCCTCACCTTTCACTGGTCATTGATGGGGGGCCAACAGGAGATACCCTTAGTCCTGAGTGTCGTCTAGGCTCAACTGTGGTTGACCTCTCCATCCCTGGAAAATACAGGGTTATTCGACCAGGATGGTAAGTCACCCTTTATTTTAGGGTTAAGTAGTTTGTGTGAGTTACACTTGCTTCTTATAAAGGAGAAACATTTTTGTGATCCAAAAGAGTTGGTTCAAAATAGATGCACTTAAGCAGGCTTCTCATTTCTGCACATGCCTTGTGCACTGGGGAAACCCAACTTATTGTACTGACTGTGATTGCTTTCATTACATTCCAGAATTTTACAGCAGGAATCCCCCTTGTTCCCCAGCCCTATTTTGTAATTATCTCTTCTTCATTCTTTTTCCAGTGCGCTTACTCAAACTGTTGAAATCCTGGTATCCAAGTATGGGTTGAGAGCTGAAGTGTCTGGAGACTGATATATTGGACCTTGGGGACACTGAAGTGCTGTCAGGCTTTTCCCAGTCAAGAAAGCAAAATGTGACCACTATTATTGTAAAGGGACTCTTCCCTTAGGGTGCATCCTTAATGCTATTGCAGCTTCGAAGATTGTCCAATTTATGACTTTGAGGACTGTGGCCAAATGGCTGAATTTCCTTTAAAGCTTAAAAGTGCAGCTATTTCTGATTGCCCGAAGCATTTCTGCCATCTGGTTTCTCACACAGACTAAATCACTTTTCCTACTCTCTCTAAAGAACATGGATCCTGTCTGAAAACGGATCCTCAAGGGATCATTTGAACATCTGAATATGAACAATTCAGTTGAAAACATTGAGTAATGTGGTTGAATATAGGACTAAATAAATGGGTAGGGCTATCTCTGTTGACTCTTCTCCTACCCTAACAGTAGGACCAATGTCATTAAATTAAAATTGTATGCAATTTTTGTGGCATTTTTTTTTCTATAAAAAGAGGATTTAGGTAGGGTTGAACCCAGTAAGTGCATAGATAGGACACCACCAAAGGTCCCAAGGCAATCAAGTCGTTTAAAAAATCAGAAAAACAATTGGGGGAAAAATCAGTGGCAGATTTTCTGCCAAGATAAGAATGTGGACAATTAAAAAAGATTTTAAAGATGGGGGTTATTAACCTTGAATGGCTTGTTACAGAAAAAGTTAAGCTGCCCTGAATGTTGGGAAGGTTAGATAGTTTAATTCATCTTAACAGGATGATGGGTTTTTGCTGTGTCTTTATCCTCCAGAATTGTTGATTATAGATGGATGCAAGTGCACAGTATTCCATATGCTCTGAAAACATCTAAAATGAAAGTGAAGGCAGCCTTAAGTACAGCTTCATTAACAGCCATTCTTGGTCCCTCTTCTGGCCTTTTTTCCGCTGAGCTGCTGCCTGAAATGGAGCAGGTACTGATTTTATTTTATTGACATCATAAGCACAGTTGACCAGGGCATTCCTAAAACAATATAACAAACCGACAGACACTATGCTCTTGGAAGGAAAGAAGCAAGACTAAGTATATGTTTGTAGTTTGGGGATTCCAATTAACAAGGGCATATGAGTAAACAACTTAGTGTAAAATAGAATTCAGTATTGTAAGCTGCCTAGGGTTACCCTGTGGTAAAATGGGCAGCAAATAAATTTGGTACACAGATCTGGCTGAAGAAGAGATGGCTGGGGAAACTTTCCAACTTAGCATTTCCTGCAGAGTCCAAACTGTCTTTTGGGGTGCAGAGGAAAATAAGAGGATGCATCTTCCAGAAGAAGCAGTGATGCAGTCTCTGCCTTCTACCAGGCATTGTTTGTACTGTGTCTTTGAGTCAGTCTTGAGTCATGCCAACTCTCTGAAGAAGCCCCTGCAGGTTGGGGACCTTTATAAGATAGGCTCAAGATGCAAAAGGATCTTGCTACGCTTGCATACTGGGCCCTATCCAACGAAATGCAATTCACTGCAGAGAAAGCTATGGTTTTAGGCAACACAAATCAAAATTGTGGGCGTACAACAGCTGTTGCGTAGCTTAACAACAATAACTGTGAATGGGATTCAGGAGTCGTAGCCAGCAGTGTGCTGCAGCTACCAAAAAAGCCAATGCGGCGCACATGTGAAGTGCTCTACAGCTTTCTACTGCCTCGTTAGACCACTTTTGCAATTCTGCATCCAGTTTTGGGCTCGACCGGAAGCGGCGCGCGGAAAGAAGCACTTCCGCCTGCAGCCTAGCGACGCGCGGCCCGCCCGTCTGTGAGCGGCAGGGCGCCCGCCAATCGCGGTGGCGAGGGGCGGGGTGCTACCGAACAAGATGGTGGCGGCGGCGGAGGAGCTGCGGGACGGCCTCCGCTCGGCCACGCGCGTCCTCCACGAGCAGCACCGGGGCTGGCTGGAGGCGTTGGCCGCCTGCCTGCCGCTGCTGCGGGCCCTGGGCAACCTGGCCCGGCAGGCGGAGGCGACGCAGAGGGCACCCCTGGCGGAGACGCCGCTGCGGGCCTTCGCGCGCCTGCCGGAGCGGCTGCGGCTGAAGCAGCGGGCGGCCATGGAGGCGTTGCTGGCGGAGCTGCGTCGGGAGAAGCTGTAAGGGCCGCGCCGCCCCCCCCCACCCCCGCTGGGCCGCCGGGCAGGGCCAAGACGAGCCGCCGCCTCTTCCTCCTCCTCTCCCCGCGTCTCTCCGCAGGCCGGCGCTGCGCGAGGCTCGGGATGCGGTGGGCGCGCGCGTGGCGCCGCTGCTGGCGCTCGGGGGGCCCCACCCGAACCCCGCTTGGGCCGACCTGCTGGCCGGGCTGCTGGACGCCGAGGCGCTCTTCCACGCCGTGTATCCTTCGCCTGGGCGCGGCCGGGAACGGCATGCGGGGGGAGAGGCCGCGGACTGCCCGGGAGCGCTCCTTAACCGGCCTGGCCAGCTACCTGGAGGCGCGGCTGCTGCTGCTCTCGCTCAGCTACCGGGACCTGGCGGCGGTGCAGGCGGCCCCCCTCGCCTGGGAGCGGATCCTGCAGCGCGGGCAGCGAGGAGGCCGCGTGGCAGGTAACCGCCGGGAGGAGGCCTTCTCGCTTGGGGCCTCTGCGCGCCCTCGGACCAGCCTTTCCTGGGTGCCTTTGGGGACCCCGGCGAGGGTTGCCCGCTGTCCCCACCCGGGCTGGCTGCTCCTGAAGGGCCCTCGGGCGTGGGCCCGGCACCGCCCTGGCCTTGGCTGGAAAAGTCCGGGCTGCCCGGCAGAGGGGCTTAGTGACCCACGGAGGTCCTGGCTCACCTCGGACACAGCCTGGGACCTGCCCAGCGTGGCTCTGGGGAGAAGGAAGGAATCTGCTCCTGAAGGGAGCTCCTGAAGGCAACGCAGGATGGGAAACGAAGGAACTGTGCAGATGCTTCACCAAAACCGTTTTTCTTCTCTTGTCCAGAGACATTGCAAAAAGCCGCCTTCTTCCTGGAGGACACATGAGAGCGTAAAGCTGGGCTTCTCCAGGAAGAGCCCAGCCAGCCTTGCTGTCTGAAGGCCCCTGGACGGGAGTCTGCCCTAGGGGGTGAGCCCCACTTGCAGGATTGTGCGGGACTGTTGCAGTTCAGACTAACTTCCAACCTGGAGCAGAGTTCTTAATGGCACCTCAGTGTAAATAAAAGTGATTTCCTCCTCTTACGGTTGTCCACTTTCTCCTTTGCAGCAGCTGATCAGAATGCTGAAGAAGGAGCTTTACATACTACAATTTCCCACTTTTCAAGACGTTCGTCAGAACCCAAAAATGGGAGCTGACACCTTGAGTTAAATTACCTGCACCCTTCACTTTGAAGAGCTCAGCTTACATGGCCTGGGCTCCTCCTTGTAGCGACCGCTGGAGCAGGTACAGGAGGAATCTTTGTACTCCTTGTACTTGAGCTACGATCCAGGCCATCCCCAGCCGGGCAACCACTTTGTGGGAGGTAATCTGCTGGTTGCATTAACAAAAAAGAAAGAGTTTAGTCCTTCTGGATCCCAAGACTCCAGATGGGATTGCCAGTAGCATAGATGTTCCCTCTCAGTTTTTCATGTTCCAGCCAGTTCCTGGGGGCTCCAGCATCCATCACAGTGGAGTCTTAATATGCACACGTTCCTTCGGCATCTGGGAGAACTCAATGTTGAAAGAGTAGCTGCCCTACCTACTAAGCACCTGATGTCCCTAGAAGACAGTGAAGTTCTACGACAATACGCTGACATTTCTGGAAGAGGAGGATGCTAAGGCTGGTCCCCCACTTCCGAGGTCACTCATCAGAAGCAATGAAGAAGCACTAGATGTTCCTCTATACCAGTGGTTCTCAACCTTTTTAATGCCGTGACCCCCAACTGGCTGTAAGTTGAGGACTACTCAACCGGTCGTAAGTCGAGGACTACTCAACTGGTGCAGCACCGTTTGCAGAATGGGACTTTTGGCGGGCTCAGCAGGGCAGAGACAGCCTGGACAATTCCTATTGGCTTTATACTGTCCTATGTTTTTTTGTATGCATGTTACAAAGCCAAATACCTTGGTGTGAGTAAGAATACTAATAAATATAAGGCAAAAACTTCGCAAGAATTTGTATTTTCTGTATGAAGGGTCATGTTCTGATAATTCTTATAGCAGTGGATCAACAATATGATAAAATTTGGTGCTACAGAATTCAAGCCACCCAATAAATCTTGACGTGTAATAGTTTTATATCTTCTTAGGGATATCTTCCTCTAGAGAAATGGGTGGCTTGAGGTGACAACCCTACTGTACTCCATCCTGCATAGGATCCACACAAGTCAAGCGCCCACACAACAGACTGCCATCTTAAGTAGTAAAACAGCATGAAAAACACTAATAATATCAGCTTTACAAAGTGTATATATGTATACAGAAACCACCGATTACCAACTTTGACGATGTCAACAGACGAAAGCTAAGTTGTATTTATTAAAAAGTTTTCTATCCCGGAGTTCAGTGGCTCTACTGTATTTCAATGAATATACCTGGGATTCAGGTTTTTAAGATTATTAGAGATACAGAAACAAATATATCTGAAGCCATGTTTGTCCACCAGATATTGGAGATGATTCTTATGAAACGGAAGAGATGGGAGCCTCTGCAGAGCCCATTTCCCTCAGCACCTTGTCCAGCCATTTCAAAGCTCCATGAAGGTGGATCTCCACCCAACATGGGGTACTGGTGATTGCCTGGCGATGGTAACCTGCTCCCCAGCCCTACAAGAAGAGACCAACAAATGGGAAAGGATGAGACATTCTTCATTCTATTCAAGAAAACACTTCCTTGATTTTAGTTAAATACATCCATTACCTTTCCTTTGCACTGTCAAGTACTGACGTACAACTGTGGATAGAGTTAGGATGCATCTAATAAAAATATATGGACTTGGAGCAAATCACATCATTAGTATTAGTTCAACAACTCAAAAGCATTCTTCAGCAAAGAACAATTAAGGAAACAGCCTAATATGGAGTTACATCTGCCAGACTTTCAGTTCATTAATTGGTTTTTCATCTGGGATAGACTTGATTGTCATTCTTTTCCTACACAAATCCACACAATGCTGCCATTTGAATTAGGACACTTTTTGAAGATGTAATGATTACGTAAGCGAAGTCTCTATTATATAGTCTCTCATATTGAATCTTTGGTTATATTTTCAAAGTTAAACCTGAATCTGAGGAGAGTGAGTACTGTAATCACAGCACAGGAACCTTTGTGGAATTTTAAGCAGATCTACCATCTCCTTCCGGAAATCAAGTTCAGAAATGATTTTACTCAGCTCTAGTTCTGAGAGTCCCAAAAAGTCCAAAGAGCACGCATATGGATTTTAGACTTAGAGCTATTCTAATTTTGCACGCCATTTTGAAGAAACAATGGGCAATGTAGAAATAAAGCACAATCCTAAATAAGGGAGTTGGAAGAGGTCTCTTGAGAAGGGCCTAGAAAAGGTAAAACTGATATTCTGTGGCCAATAAGACCAATGAAAGCCCAGTTGAAAATTGCCATTATTGGAACTGAAAAGGTCAGCCAGAGGACAGTCTAGGTCCTCCAGGGCACATATGGTTCATTTGGAATAATCCTGGACTTAAATTTAAAAAAATCCCTTTTTATTCCCTCTTGTCAGAGATCAGTTGTAATTGAAGTCGCTAGTGGCAAGACAGTGCCACAAATTTCAGAGTTGCAATAATTTTTCCCTTCTTGTTTATGGCGAAATTTCGTGAAGGTACAAAATTTAGTGCATCTCATCCTTTTAAAATGTCCCTGTAACAAGGAAGCCAGTCCCAATTTTTCAGCTTTATAATACAAGACAAAAAAAGTTCTTACTTTAACGAAGCTCATCCGGATAATGCACATCTTGGTGAGCTCAGAGACGGCCTCAAAACCACAGTTAATTGACCGGGAAAGCAGTTGTGCAAAGAGCAGGTTGTTGAAGATCTTCAGGTTGTATCCACTGGGGATTTTGCAGACGGTGCTCGGGTGGAAGCTACGTTCACAGTTGGCATTCGAGCTCTGGACAAAAACGCTACAGTCGCTCAAGCACTCAATAAAGACCTCTCCCCCCACATAATACAGATGGACACCTTCAGGAGAGAAGAGGGACCAAGACTGATGTCATCTTCAACACAATCGAAGCCAAAAGACTCTTGTTCTAAACCACTTCATGATATACTAAGATCAGGGTATTGTTGCTGACCATTCCAAGGTCACGCTAAGAAATGCAGAACTATCCAGTCCACAAAGACAGGGAGTGTTACCTAAACAATTTATTAGCACCTAATTGGACACTTGTTGATAACCATGGAGAAAGGTGGGAACAAGGGAATGTTAACCATAGGCTTTGGGTGCAGAAACCTCAGATTCAACTTTGCTTCTTCTGTAACCACTTGACTTTAGTAAAGTGTACTTTTGACTAACCATGGATCTTTTTGTTCTAACTGACCAACTTGGTCATTTCTATGGAGAGCAAAATGCTTCAGTTGGCTTCCATGCGTCTGACATGCAGTGTTTCTCTGCAATTACCTTTTCCGATGTGGTTCCGGGTGTTTTCTATGGAAGAGTTCCTGTTAATATTAGAGAACAATCCAAGGCAGAAGTGGTCCTTGTTTGAAGGATCTGTAAAGCCATCTATTAGTATACTTCGAGAAAAGGCCTGAAAAGTCTCTCCTACTCTTGTATTGAGTTCGTAATAGGCAATTGAGCACCACTGCTCTGGTTCCTCATAGCTCACACGTTGGACATCTGGAAGAAGGTTTCACAGGTGTTATGTAGACAGAAACGCAATAATAGCAGTGTGATTTGTTTCATATCCAAATACATGCTTCACATACACATTTAAACAGCCGGCATTGCCAGAACAGAAAAGAGATATACAGGTAATCCTTGATTTATGAGCACAATGGGGACTGAAAGTTTCATTGCTAAGCAATGTGGTCATTAATGAGTCACACTTGACTCAAAATTTATAACCTCCCCCCCCCAGTTGTTAACCGAATCAATGAAATTGTTGAGTGACACTCAGTTCATCAGCAAATCTGGCTTCCCTTGTTGATTTTGTCAGAAGCCCCTCAGGAAGGTTGCAAATGGTGATCATGTGACCTTGGGATGCTGCAAATGGTCATAAGTGCGTGGACCAGTCATAAATCTTTTTTTTTTCAGTTGCTAAATAGTTGCAAGTTGAGGACTACTAGAAAGGACAATAAAAATGCAAGGTAAACTACTATGTTGGGTTAATTAGTGTCATTAGCTGAGTGTGTTAACTTTTAAAAAGTGATCATAGTAATCAAAATATTTGGCCAGACGCTTAGAGCTGACTGAGCTATTAAAAAAAACCATAAAACAAATAAATACCAAACATGCTATTCTCCAACCCAAATTCTCAAGACAAACACAGCTGCTACTACCAGAATTGGCTGAATTTGTAGGTAGCCTGAATGTTGGTTCTTGCAGTTTAATGATGCCAAACTCTGCATTTTCTAAGGGTGCAATAGACTCAATCCCACTAAGTGTTTGGTGCTGTTTTGCATACCTGTGAGCTCAGAAGGTCTTTCTGGAGCAGCTGCACATCCTGGGGTGACTGGGTAGCCCATGGTGCTTGTTGATGGAGTGGGCATATTGTGAGATGCTGGGAAAGGGGTGCAGGGAGGCTGCTTTGCATGCTGAGGATCAGGCTGAGTTGCGCTGTTGGGCATCTGTTGTTCACTCTCAAGAGACACATTTTGGCATGTGTTGAGGAGGCTGAACTGTGCATTGAATTCACTCTGTCTTGGAACCAACACTGGAGGCAACACTACAACAGAGGTTTTGAAAATCGTTAAGCTCTTTGGAGTCGGGCATAGATTAAATATATATATACATTAGATAGAAGATAGATGAGAGAGAAAGAGATTACAATGCTAGATAAATAGAAATGGTAGAGATGAGAGACAGACAGATTGAGAGACAGATAGGTAGAAATGACAGAAGATAGAAGATATACAGATTATAAATATTGATTAGATAGATTATATACACACATATGTTTGTGTGTGCGTATATGTGTGTGTGTATGTATGTGTGTGTATATATATGTATATATGTGTGTGTGTGTGTATGTATGTGTGTGTATATATATATATATATATATATATATATATATATATATATATATATATATATATATATATGCGCTGGAAGATTTGCATAAAAATACGACTCCTGGGCATGTCTATGATACAAATAAAATACGAACACCAGGAGAGTATAAATATAAAAATATACTTTACTAAAAGCTGCCAAGCTTTCGTTTGGAAACTCCAAACATCATCAGGGCTAAGGAGCCAGTAAACAATGATGACTTAAATGGGTTTTGCCGGCATCTGCAGCCGGCTCATGGACCGCGTCACAGGTCCCGGCCAGTTAATTAGTGTTCCAGATGTTTCTTTATTACTCTCCTTACGCTTCCTTCTATGGTTCTTCCGGATCGTTCCTTCCACTATCTCATTACTGGCATTCACCTCTTCCACCACCCCTTTATCCTTATTTCCTTCCATAGTACTGACCCTCCTCCCCTTTTTGTTTTCATTTTCCACCCTGGGGGCATCTGTTTCTCCTCTATCAGTGTTACAAGCTTCCCTGGGCTCACAGACGCTCCCCCCCACACACGCTTTTCTCAATCCCTGCTCTACACCCTTTCTTCTCACTCCTCCACTGTCATGAGTAACTTTCATACGGGTGTTGCATATTTGGGGGTCTATGCCCTCCTCCTCCGTCCTGGCAATCTTCCTGTCGACAGTTCTCCACCATTCCATTTGTTTGCTGCGTGATCGGGTGCTAACTCCGTCTCTCAATTCATCATCCCCCCTCCTCCCTATTGCATGCTCTTCCCCATTGCTGATAGGAACGGTATTCAGGCGGACACCAGGTCTCCAGATCTCTGCATTCTGATTCCCCGCGTTCTCACTCTCCTCTCCTGTGCTCGTCTTTGGGGGGACTTCAAAGTGTTCGTCCCGGGGGGGGCTGTATTGTTGGTGGGGGTATTCCTTGTCTGCAGAGGGTCCAGGCAGAACACCGTGTCTCTCCCTTTCACCGTATGCCTAGGCAATCGAGCCGTGCTTTCGTTCTTCTTCTCCTCCCTGCCCACAGCGTCAGGCTGCAGACTCCTCATGCTGGATCTTCCACACTCTCCACAGTTGTTGTTAAGTTCCGGGGGTGGGGAGTTTATATAACACACACACACACACACACACACACACACACACACACACACACACACACATGGTACAAATGCCCAGGAGTCGTATTTTTATGCAAATTTTCCAATATATATATATATATATATATATATATATATATATATATATATATACATACATACATACATACACACACACACATATACATATACATACACACACAAACACACACATATATATAAAGACAGGTGGATGGATGGATGGACTGATTGTTAAATAGGTGATAGAAGATTGACAACAGAGATTATAGATAGTAGAAAGGTAAAGATTATTGATAGAGATGAGAGAGATAACAGGTGATAGATGACAATGACATGGATGGAAGGATGGATAGATAGGCAGGCGGACAGATAGACAGACACATAGGCAGGCAAACAGGCATACATACATACATACATAATGTGGGAAAATGATGACAGGTGAAGAGTTAAAGAACCTGCAGGGATTTTTCCAGGCACTTACCCCGAGTCAACAATGACTTGATGGCTGAAAACAATAAAGGACCAAATGATGCTTAATTATTGCTCTATCACAGTGATGGCAAACCTTTTAGAAACCAAGTGCCCAAACTGCAACCCAAAACCCACTTATGTATCGTCGGTGCCGGGTGGGCGTGGCTGTGGTGGTAATGGCAGATTGGGTGGGACTAAAAAGTTCAATCAATCAATTCCAACTTTGCGAGATCTTTTTTTTTGCGTGAGTTGAAATTGACTGAACCTTTTTTTTTGTTTGTTTGCTTTGCACAAGGCAGCGGAAGCCTAAAGCGAAAAGGTTTTATAAAACCCAGCTGAAGGCCTAGGACTGGGGCAACAGCATGTGTGCCCACAGAGAGGGCTCTGTGTGCCACCTGTGGCACGTGTGCCATAGGTTCGCCACCACGGCTCTATCATCTAATCTAGAGTTCTCTGTTCTCTGATTTCAATTGTATTTTTCCTGCATAGCATTCAGTGTGTCCTAAGTAGGGAGCAAAGGCACCTTACTATTTCAGCACCTTGGACAAGCACAAAACACAGGGAGAGGCACCCGCCAGGGGCACACAATTACAAGCTTTTCAGCATCTACTTTTGCTAGTTCACTAGTGTTGGGAGTGTGGCATCCTAATGGGTTTAAAAAAGCACACAACATTTTGTTTTTTTATTTTCATATCTGGCAGACAGCAGACCAATTTACATGACCAAACCAGCAGGTTAAATATGATGGTAGAATTCACTTGGGCTAATTGCAGTTGAACAATTGGTTGAGCAAATTCTTGTTTGCATCATTGAAATGCACCTGCAGTTATATAAAAAAAATGCTTTGCAAAATTACCTGATTAAATGTAAAGAATCCATTGTCTAAGGCGACACTCATTTTAACATCAATATATCACTTATTATTGCTACAGTATTTTCTGCCATTTCATCCATGATATTGAAACCACTCATAAAATGTAAACAGTTGTATGAAATAAATAGCCTACAAAAGATCACATCACAGCAACTAAAAGAAGAAAGACAATTTTACCTGGGCCTATTGGGGGGGGGGGTTATTACTATTGCCAGCACAGATGTTCATTTCCTGTTCTTCTGCCCATTATGCCAGCATTTCCACTGCCTCTACTTCCTATATAAAGTATGGAGCGAAGCTCTTTCCAGAACCAGAATAACAGGAATTGCTATGAAGAGAATTACCACCCAGACCAGCAAGGCATCCTCTCCTCCTGTCCACCCTTATCAACGATGAGACCATCATAAAGTATCCTGGAGTTCCAACTAGGGTACCCATCTTCCCGTTTAACACACACACACACACATCATTCTGTAAATACAACCGTTGCACTTGCAGTAACAACTAACCGGTCCCAGGAGTGAACTGCAACTCTTTGCATGCCTATTGTCAAGATATGCTCATTCCTAGTAATAAGAGTAGCTTCTGAATCCCTCCTGTCTTTTCTTCTCTGGGTCTTGGATGACCTAACCGTAACTAAAAGTCTGCCTCTTGAATCTTTGATTATCCTTCTTCCAATAATAGCTTCTGTGCAACTCCCTTTTTTTTCCCAGACAAAATAATTACGCAACCAAGGCAGGGTTGTCCTTTCCTAAACAGACACCTGACCAATTCACCTGGAGCTGCCACTCTTTGGTAATGGTAAGGGTTGATGCAGACGTCCTTCTGCTTGGAACCAAAGGGGAATTCACAGCAGGCCAGGGGTTTCAATTCATGCTGAGACTGCAGGTCAGGCCAGCGCCACACTCGGCAGTAGATGACATGCGGGTACCCTTTGCGGTGGAAGACCTGCATCCTTCCATCCAAGGAGTGGGGGATGGTCACACACTTGCTGGGCTGCCCAGGACAGCTGAGGGCTCTCTCCAGTTCCTGCAAGGCACCCCTTTTCTTCATCAGCTTCTTTGCCAAGGAATCCACTGCCATTTCAGCCCACTTCTCCTCCTCGTCTCCTTGCTTCCAACCCAACAACCTCTTCGTAGCAGGGCCAGTAAAGGAGAACAGAGAGGTAAAACAGCTGTTGGAATGCATGAGGACCAATAAATCTTCTTCAGCAGTCCAATTTCTTCTTCAATGAAGAACTTCAGTACTAGAAGAGAAGTTCCTTCAAAATCAAGCTGGGTTATGCTGAATATGTCTAATCTTAGTGTCTTCAAATAGGGTAGAGTTCTACAACAGAGGGTAATTATTGTCATGCTTATCTTTTGAGTTTGTCACCTCAATTTTTAATCAGTATCAACAGATTTTCAATTAACAAGAGTAAGATTGCAGCTGCTGCAAAACTATCTCTGTGTGTATGTGTATCAATTATATAAATTACAATAAGTTATAACTCTGCATCTTTTCACAAAATGCATTTTTTAAAAACCTAGGAAATACTTACTAATAAAGTTGGAAGAATTCTCCTATTTCTTATCCAGGAAATGATAAATTAAGAATACCTAGCAGAATTTTCTATAAAATAATATTTTGGCAGCAATTACCGTTCTGTGCATATGAGACTTTGTGGGGGATGCATAATATTTACCAGAATGCCAGCACAATTCGACTGCTGTGACTAACAGCAAAACAGGTTCAATCCACCGGGGTGGATGGCTATATTAAGTCTAATAATAATAATGAGATCTCAAAAAATTAAAACGACGGCGGCTGATGCAATGGGCTCCCTTAGCCTTGAATGCAAGTGCTGAACCGATTGCCCCGATTGTTGCTGCTCTCGTTGCAAAAGAAGCCCTTTAAAGTGCAAGGAAACTATCCAATGCAAAATTCTTCTATCACGGAAAGGGAAAATCGGCACACAAGCGCTGAAATGCACAAGTGCTTCGCCTCATTCCCTCTCGGGGACGTGAGAAAAAGGACATTTTGCAAAGCTGAAGGGATTCGCGGCTCAAGCGCGCCCGAGAGACTTCCAACACCGAAGAACCGCGGGGATCATCACGGTCCATCCCACAATTATTTAAGCGCTGCAGAATCTGGTTCGCTTTTTGAACCAGAACTTTAAAGGAGCGTTTGAAACTCAAGGCCACTTACGGAGGGAGCAACCTGGGTCGCTTTGCTCCGGCCATCAGTGGGAAGTTTCTCCAGGGTCATCCTAAAGGAGACCCCCGTTACGCGCAAGGGGTTCTTCTCCAAGAGGTTGCGCGGTTGTTGAGCAGACTTACTACTGGCTTGCGAAACGGGCGGTTGCAGCGAAGGACCGGGTCACATCCCCGAACGACGGGAAGCTCGGGATGAGCTGATCTGGGGCCTCGCCCCTCCCTGCCCCCGCCGCATGCGCCCCCCGGCCCGCGCCCCTCCCCTCCCTGCACCTCGGCCGGCCGGAGTCCTCCAAAAGGGCGCGGGTCTTCCTCGGCCTCCTCTGAGACCAGACCCGGAGCAAAGCCCGGGAAAGCCAGCCCGCTTCTCCTTCCAGCGAGGGTCGTTTTTGACCCCAGGGCCGGGACGGAGGAGAGCAATCAGCGCCGCATCCACACGTCCAGCTAGAGGCTGCGCCTGGAGAACTGCAGGCCCCGGACAGGGTTAACCTGCAAACCTCGGCTTCCTTCCACGTAAGCCACAGTTAAGGGAATCCTCGCTCCGTGCAACGTGAACCTAGAGCTGCTTTAGGGCGCGCGGTGCGGCTTCTGATCTCTTTGACCGAGATCGGCCGATTTGTGCTCGTTTTGCGGGAATTGGTGCCGATTTTGTTTTAAGGCGCCCGGTCACAAGGACGCGCTGTGCACGTGCGACAGCGTGCATGCACGGACACACACGCGCGTGGAGGGAAGAAGACTTAAGGGCGCTAGTCCCGTTTGTGCACCTCACGGAGGAGTTCCATGCAAAGAGGCGAATGTAGAAGCGAGCGGGAGCTTCGTCTCGCCGGTATGCGGGCCGCCCGGGGCGCCCTCCCCTCGCTCAGAGCGGCCCCTCCTGTCGCCGGCGAGGGCTCCAGGTCCGACACGTGGACGCCCTTGGAGTCGGCGCGCGGTGAGGGCCAGCGGGGCTTGCGGTCGGCGAGCTTCCCCCGCGCTGGGCTGCCTCCTACTGGCCAGCTCCTGCGGCAGAGATGAGGAGGGGGCGGCCTCGCAGACCCAGCGCCCGGCAGGATCGAACCTCTGCAGCTGCCCCCGCTTGGCGGGCGGGCGGCGCCTTGGAGGAGCGCGCGCCTTTTGCGCTCTCCAGGCCCGCGCGCGCCTTCGTTCCCCTGGCGCAGGGCTCCTAAGCGGGCCGCGGACGGGGCCTGGGTGGAAGAGCACCCAAGCCGGGAGCGCCGTTGCCTGGCCTGCCCGCCTCCGGGCGGCTCGCCCGGGGCTAGAGAAGCGAGGCGATGTTCAGTCTGCGCCTTTGGAGAAGGCGCCCCCTGTCTCCACTCTGGTCTAGGGTGCAGCGGCTACTTTGCAACTACTGGGAGGAAAAGACGGGCAGCGATTTTTTTTTTTTAAATAATAATAAAATTAAAGATGGGTGCCTTCGGGTGCAAAAAAAGAAAAAGACACCACGCATAGGAGTTGGGGAGCCGCAGATGTGGGGGATGCAGAAATGCAGCACCTTAAATCCCCCCCCCTTTGATTTATGACACTTTGCTGGGAGTGTTGGCCACCCATCCATAGGGCACCGCCCCGTCCTGGTTGGCAAAAAGAGGGCGAAAAGGATTTGGATCTTAGCCCTCCACCTCAGGTAATAGGAATGTGGGCCACCAAGGACTTGGAATTTTCCTCCAATGGGATTTTCCCATGTATTCTACCAGGAACCATAGATAGGACAGTCTAGAAAAGTCAGTGCCCTCCTAACCATACCCAAGCACTCCGAGTTTGTTGGCGATGTCCATTTTGCTCTAGGAGTTCATGGTGACCTAACCCTAACCCTAAGTGGAATTTTCCCTCAATGGGATTTTCCCATGTATTTTACCAGGAAACATAGATAGGGCAGGCTAGAAAAGTCAGTGCCCTCCTAACCATACCCAAGCACTCCGAATTTGTTGGCGATGTCCATTTTGCTCTATGAGTTCATGGTGACCTAACCCTAACCCTAAGTGGAATTTTCCTCCTAAGGAATTTTCCCATGTATTTTATCAGGAAACATAGATAGGGCAGCCTAGAAAAGTCAGTGCTCTCCTAACCATACCCAAGCACTCCGAATTTATTGGCGATGTCCATTTTGCTCTATGAGTTAATGGTGACCTAACCCTAACCCTAAGTGGAATTTTCCCTCAATGGGATTTTCCCATGTATTTTACCAGGAAACATAGATAGGGTAGCCTAGAAAAGTCAGTGCCCTTCTAACCATACCCAAGCACTCCGAATTTGTTGGCGATGTCCATTTTGCTCTATGAGTTCATGGTGACCTAACCCTAAGTGGAATTTTCCCCCAATGGGATTTTCCCATGTATTTTACCAGGAAACATATATAGGGCAGCCTAGAAAAGTCAGTGCCCTCCTAACCATACCCAAGCACTCCGAGTTTGTTGGCGATGTCCATTTTGCTCTAGGAGTTCATGGTGACCTAACCCTAACCCTAAGTGGAATTTTCCCTCAATGGGATTTTCCCATGTATTTTACCAGGAAACATAGATAGGGCAGGCTAGAAAAGTCAGTGCCCTCCTAACCATACCCAAGCACTCCGAATTTATTGGCGATGTCCATTTTGCTCTATGAGTTAATGGTGACCTAACCCTAACCCTAAGTGGAATTTTCCCTCAATGGGATTTTCCCATGTATTTTACCAGGAAACATAGATAGGGTAGCCTAGAAAAGTCAGTGCCCTTCTAACCATACCCAAGCACTCCGAATTTGTTGGCGATGTCCATTTTGCTCTATGAGTTCATGGTGACCTAACCCTAACCCTAAGTGGAATTTTCTTCCAATGGGATTTCCCCATGTATTTTACCAGGAAACATAAACATGATGCTGTCCATCCCAATCCTTCAAACCTAAACAAAATGACTCTGTTAGGGAGGAGGAATAGCAGATATTTTAACACTAAACTGTTAGGAAAAACTTTAGAGTTGTAAGTACAGTATGACTATTGAATCAGTTACAGAGACAACTGAAATTATTTTAAGATGACAGTAGCTAATTCTATCAGAATAACATCAATGCAAAATTTTCCAGTCATACGTTGTTTTGTCCTAAACTTGACACATTTTTTCTATTTTCTATAAATTCTTAAAATGGGAAATCTACACCATCCGTTGGATTCCAAAAAAAAGGAGTCCTGCAATTGTAGGCATTTGTGCCAATAGATCTGCTGAACGTTGTGTGAGTGACTGTAGCAAGACTGCAATATTTACCACCTACTCCTAAGGACGAAATAGAACTACGGGTTCTATGAAATAGAATTTTATGGGTTCATGAAATTGATAATGAACATTCTTTTCCCTGTTCAAGGTCATTCATTTTAACGTACAGTGGTATAAAGCCATTAAAGACTAATAGAGAAGGAAATTGTACAGGCTGCTATATGGTGAGAATTAAATTCAAATTAAGAAGAGATGGAATGCAGGGGTGGGAAAATGGTATTCAAACATCCTTCCGTGAGACATTTCTGTCAACTCAAGGATGCACTGTTTCCCATAGCAAAATGAACAGAAGAGATTGGTGGACATTTTGGACTGTGGATAGCCCAGAAGAAAAAGAGGGAAAGATGCTTGCTTTTGCATGTAAAAGCCAGAGCGTGTTTCACTTCTGTGCCAATGTGTCTTATTCAGTAAAGTTTTATACTCTTGGTAAAATAATATCCCAAGAGTTCCTTTTTCTGGATTCGCCAACTAGACAGTTGACACGAACTTAAAAAAAACCAGAATTGTTGTACAATTTCCTTAATACTTGCGCAAATTAGGTGCACTATTTTCATTCATTCACATACAGTCTAAATATAAAACATGCTCACCCAGAGTCGTGTGCTTGATGTCATCAAAATTATTTTCCATTTTCCCATAGTTCTGTAATATTACTACTACTAATAATGGCAATATATAAAAATGTAACTTGAACAGGAGACTGTACAAAACTAGTGTTTTCAAGTTGGCAAATCCCCCATTCTGGTGGGCTAAATTGCCCGCATTCATTCTTAGTGCAAACATAGCTGATTGTATTGATTACACATTCACACAAGTTACTAATTTTTTGCTTTTAATTGTATAACAGCAATAAAAAATAACACTGTAAACTCAGCAACAAAGTACAGGTGAAATTTGTATTGTTGCCATGATAATCCTCTTATCAACATTTTATAAAAATGGAAGGAGAATAACATTTTTTTCCTAAAGCGCGTGTATGTTTTTCTATATGCAAAACAGTGAAGAGAATATCACCAAACAGTTCTGCTAAGATTATACATATTTACTATATAATATATATATACATATATATATATATAATCCACCATGCTGTAAAATCATAATGAAATTTTTACACACAAGATTATGGAATTCAAACTCCAACAATTCTTATAGTACATATGAAAGTCCATATAATCAAGCACTGACACCAACTAGCTGTAACAAAAAAAAAAGTTGCTTCAATAATGGCTGAAACTCATCTTCTTTGCTCAGAATGTTTCTAATCTGGATCTTTATAGTAAACTCACCAAAAAATGCTGTATCTCCCTTGATTATTATAGCTAGAGGTAGAACTTGTAATTAACATTCCAAATACATGAAACCCTACAATGTCTCCATAGTTATTATCTGTAAATAGACTTATTGAAATGATAATTTACTAACCAAGCCATAGTTGCAAGATTGGTGATAGCAGCAATGTCCAGGTTATCTAATGGGTTTGAATTTAATGTCCTATTATAACTGAAGACTCGGGAGGTTCAACATATCTGCCACACAATAGACATTATGATCCTTTTAGCTGTTCTCAGGGCACAACTGGTGAGAAGTCTTCCTCCCCCCAAACAATTGTAATTATTCCAAACCATAGTAGTTACAGTACCTGACACCACATATTCTCATAGCCTCATCCCCAAATTAATCTTAACAAACGAAACAGCAGAAATTTAAAGATCCAAATTTAAAATGAGTTTTCTCTTCCCAATGATCTCCCTGATGCTTTTTTAAAAAATAAATTCTGATAAATTCTCTCTTTTCATTATGATTCCTATTCTGGTTTCTAATTTGCTGTTCCACAGCTACATCATCTCTACATTTTTGGTCTTTTCCATTCTCGCCAAGTACTTCTTAAGGATACAAGATGCATTTCAAGATTCCCTAAGAACTTGCACATTTTTATCTGTTTTAAATAACTCAAAAGTTCCCATAGTTTCAATCACTGCCTAAAAAAAAAAACTAAGGTGAAAAAAGGTCAGCAGAGTAAAGTAATACCTCCCTCTAAAAGTTTGAACCAGTTGCAAGTGCTCAAATTAGAACGTAGATGGGAATGTGCACCAAAGCCAAACAACTCATAGGCATAGCAAAATATATTTGAATTATTTGTAGAAGTGTTGAAAAGGCCAGTGATTCAGTTTACAACTTCCAAGACTTGCAGAAAAGTTCACTATTATCACCATTTTTCTTCAAGTTGAGGTGATTATCCCCCCTCCCCCGCTGCAGGCTTTCAACATCCCTAAAAAGATCACCAACTTGTATATTAGGAAGCAACAAACAAAGCCAACAAACGAACAAAAGCAGGAATGATAAAGACCACAACAGCAATGCTAGCGAATACTCTTCATGACTTCTTTGGCTGCTAGAATCAATGGGGTCAAACTTGACAAAGGTTTTGCAAGTTTCAAGAAAGGATGCTGTAACAGTTCTTCGGCCGACCCTCTTTTCTCTACATCCATTTCCAGACAGCTATGTAAAAAGTCACGGAATACCGGAGACTGCTTCTCTGGGCTTTGCAGGGCCGGGGTGCCATTGGCTATTATTAAACACAATGCCCTCCAAGGGTGTCCATCGAGATAGGGAGGTTCGCCATCAACCATTTCAATGGCCACAATACCTAGAGACCAGATGTCCACTTTAGGGCCGTAACCCTTCTGTGTCAAAATTTCAGGAGCCATCCAACACGGCGTTCCAACCATTGTGCTATGTTTGCTTTGCTCTGGAGTAATCTGAGCACAAAACCCAAAGTCGGACAGCTTAACTGAGCCCTCCATTCCCAAAAGCACATTGTCACTTTTAATGTCTCTGTGAATCACCAGGTTGGCATGAAGGAACTGCAGGGCCTGCAAACACTCTCTGCAGACAGCAGCAATCTGTGCCTCATCCATACAAATCTCTGTGACTATATCGGCAAGGGATCCGCCAGCCAGATACTCCATGACAACTAACAGTTCATCTCCAACCAGATAACTGTCCAGAAAATTGACTATGTTTGGGTTCTTCAGCTCTTTCATGACCAAGATCTCATTAATAATCAACTCCTTTTTGGATTGTTTCCGTAGCTTTATTTCTTTTATAGCAACCGCCTGTCCTGTCTCAACATCTTTCCCGATGAAAACAGTAGCAGAAGCCCCCTGTCCTATTTTTCCGTATCGGGTATATTTTTTCTTGGGATCTCCTATACTCACAATAGTTTGCAATTTTTCTGCTACCTCTTTATCCGACATCTTGGTTCTCTTTTCCTCTTTATTAGCTGATTGAGCACTGCCACTTGCGTCACCAGATAGCATTGGGATGGGATCGATTAGTGATTGCGTATAAACCAATTTTGTAGGAGGAGCCATTTCCTTTTTTAGCGCAGGCTCTGGCCTTTTTGCATCCGTATTTCTAGCAGAAAAAGTCGTTTTTTCCTCTCTGGCCATGTTTGTGGAGTCACAGATTTTTAAACCCCCTAATGCAGCCTGGGGATTCTTTTCCTGTTCTGACTTGGTGAGGTTTAAGGCCCGTAGCAGCCTAGACACCTGCTTTGGCTTTGCCCCGAATTCTCCAGCAACAGCATCAAAGCCGAGAGGAGTAGTAAGCTGGAAATCTGACGGAAGAGACATTTTGGGCCTCTTCCTTTTTCCTATCCTGTTTTTCAGGGCCAGAGAAAACAGAGGTGAATTTGCACCTAGGCTTTCTCTCTTGGGGAGCAGAAGGCAGAGGAGCCAAGCTGGGATCAGCAGGAGCTTCGCCTCCTGAACTGGGGCGAGAGAGAGAGCACTGCTCGGGCCAACTTGTGCAACCAGTGGCTCGTCTTGCAGCCCTCCCTTAGCAGACCTAGTTAATGGCCAGGCTGCGACCCCGCTGCCCTTCCGACGTGCCAGCCAGGCCGCAGCTCCAAGGCTCAGAGGGCGGGGCCAATCTCCTCGCTCCCGGGCCGGGCGTCTGGGCGGAGCTACCGGGCGGCAAGTCGGCATAGCGGCGCGCGGTCGCATCAGCGAAAAGGGAGAGATTTTTTTTTTTTTTTTTGCGCTTTACTATCTTTCAAAAATGTTTTCGCTTTTGCAGCCAAGTCGGTTGCACCGATTATCCGACCTGCACTCCCCGAGCACGAAACGGCATTTTAAAGTTTCTAGACCAGATTATCTTCCCTCCAACAAGCTTTGCAAGATGCGCTTCCCAGGCAGCTTCCTGCGTGCGTTTTTTTTTTTTTTAATGAAGAGTATCTGGTTGGGATTAGGTTCCCTCGTAGACTCGGCCTCGGTTTTTAAACAGTGGAAACGTCGCTTAAATTTATTCATTGTTGCTTGGAGCCTCGAGGCACAGCTCGCGAGGTAGATTTTTAGAGACCCGTGTTTTTGCACAGAGTAGCTCAAGCGTGGTTTGTAATAAACTAATGAGCTTTATTTGCATTTATTTGTGGCATTTAGTAAAAAGTACCCGAACAGGCCAGCATCAGCTTTACCATTAGCGGGGCACGCCACCTGTGATCTGACTATACGTTTTCAGTCTTACTAAAAACACCCAGGAAAAACCTGGTTTTATTAAAATTATGATCACGGCAGGAGTTAAGAATGATAGGTCCACCGGGGTTACAATCACAGCGTGGGAGAGATTGGAATGTGAGAAGAGGAAAGAAGAAAGGACATGAATCAAGAAAGGAATCGGTACAAAAGTCAACGATCTGTAGGAAAGAAGTTCCTTGGGGTGATTTGATCGTAGAAAGAGAATGAATGAAATAACAAATAAACAAAAATCACACACACACACACACACACACACACACAGAAGGTGTGAACGGGTGGAGAGAAAGAGTCAAGAGAGGACTCAGCCTAGAACGGGTAGGCAACCTCGGCTCTTTTATGACTCATGGACTTCAACTCCCAGAATTCCTGAGTATAGAGCTTCTCGTAGTCGCTTCCCGGAGGGTTCCCCCCCCCCTTGGAAGAAAGAAGACGCGCGGAGAATATTCGCCCCCTCGAAGGGAAGAGCAGTAGCCATGGGCTTCTGCACGGAGGCCCGAGAAAAATGGAGCAATCGCGCCCTCTAGTGGCCATCGGCGCGTGCTGGGGAAAACGGATGAATGTCGACCTTCTATTTCAGTGATGGGGAACCTTTTAGAGACCGAGTGCTCAAACTGCAATCCAAAACCCACTCACTTATGCATCTTAGGGTGCCGGGTGGGCGTGGCCCATTGGGTGGGCGTGGCCACAGTAGGAATGGCAGATTTGGTGGGACTAAAAAGTTCAATCAATCAATTCCAACTTTGGGAGACTTTTTTTGCGCAAGTTGAAATTGATTTAACCATTTTTTTTTTTTTGCACATAGCAGCGGAAGCCTAAAGTGAAAAGGTTTTATAAAACCCAGCTGAAGGCCTAAGACTGGGACGACAGCACACGTGCCAACAGAGGGCTCTGCGTGCCACCTGTGGCACGCGTGCCATAGGTTTGCCACCACAGTTCTATTTAGTATCAAGCTAGACAGCCTAGCACTGATCAGGATACCCAGTTTGGCAATGAAACGTCAGCAGGAAAACCAGCACGCGTACAAACCATCAAGGACCCCACAGTTCAACTCTGAGCTACAAATATTCTCTTCTCTTGAAGATGGATATGCCCAATCTTTCGGCTTCTGTTTCAACACACATTTTGACATAATGCAATCATTGAAGGCTCCTTTGTAGCGGTTTCCTCGTTTTCTGTAAATTCCCGCTCAGCTGACTGAGCCTTCTGTGCAAAGATTCTTTTTCCCCCAGAAAGCTGCAGAGATTGTGGAAGAGGAAGTTATACCAAAGAGTAAGAAACGGCCATCCAAGAAGGTAATTAACTTGTATTAAAACTACTTTAATCAAAGCGCTGGAGAGAAGTTTAAGTTACAAGTTTAAAAGAGGCAAACTCGTGGCAACGTTAACAGATTTTAGATCTTAGAGGGATAAAGAACTTGTTATGCAAGTAAAACTGACATTGTTTTTTTAACAATCCTGTGATCGCTTGCATGGAGGTGATGTTGGGGCAAGTGAATGGAGCTGAGTGTTTACTGGCTGGATGCCCTTCCTGATGCCTACGCGGAACTCTTTGTGCCCAGAGAAATATCTGCCCCTATCTAGGATCCTGATTATGAGGCAAGAGCTCCAGCTTTAGGCCACCACGCCACTCATGCAAGCAAATTGACATTATTCATATATAAAATGAACCTGTGTTTTTCAATCTTGGTAACTTGAAGGTGTGTGAATTTTAACTCCCAGAATGCCCTGGGAAGCTAGGGAATTTTGGGAGTTGAAGTCCACATATCATTGAGTTGCTAAGATTGAGAAACACCAGACTAGAGGACTAGGAGCTCTGTAATGAAAGAATCACAAGGGATTCTGAAGCTTAACTTAGACTTCCAAAATTGTATTTCTAGGTATCAATCTGGTGAGCCATGTAAACAGTACTTTATGCTCATTGTAGACTTTTGTGCCAAAACGTGCTCCTTCGTCCTTCACAACACAGACCCTGTTTGAATGGTAGCAATTGATCCTGCTCTTAAGTCAGATCTGTCTGGGCAACTCCTATCGCTTTTGAGATCTTTCTGCATTCACTTAAAAGGCTCCTGATCCTGCTGCTTCTCAGGGTCTGCAAGGTTTCTGGCTAACAGGAAGATCAAGACAAGATCTAGGAACCCAGAGCTCTTTGGAATCCAAGTGCATGAAGGAGCGATTGCCAGGATATGGAGAACCATGCTCTCTCTAGCATGGAGCCCTGGGTGTGTTTAATCCATGCTGCAACTCTTGAGAATGGCATCAGCAGTTGCGCAGAGAAGAATGGTCTTCCACAGAATTTCCCCTCTTCTTTGGAGACCTCTCACGGATTTTTGTGCCCAGACGCAACTATGCAGATGGCGATGCCCAAGACTGTCAAGAGCATTCCCAGGGCAGCCCCTGCAGAAGAGAAAAAGCAGGAAATCAACCAAAGCTACAGACTTTGTTCTTGGGAGAGAGGAACATGGAGTATTATATGGCAATAAGGAGGACAGAATTTGCATTTGATCAAGGCATTCGACACCTACTTGTCCCACCTATGTTTTCTCCAAGAACTTTCCCTGTTGCCACTGTGAAGACCAGGGCTAAGGAATTGCAAAGAGGCACAGCCAAGGTTAAGTCTGAAACAGAAAGGGGAGCATTTAATGTAGGATCATTTGATCCAAACAAACAATAACCACTGAGGAGATAATAACCTAATGAAATGGAAACTCCACCTAAAGGTAATGTTTGGCTGGTTCATGGCTGGGGAAGAATTCTGGTAGGAAATCTTCCTCCCTAAAAGCACCTTAGCTAGATCTCCACCTTCGGGGATTTTCAAATAGGACAAGATTACAGTTATTTTCAGTGCTTGATTCTGCAGCAACTGTCTAGCAAGCTTCATTTACCTGGGCACTTGGGGAAAACCTCTTCCTTAACTGGCCTCTTCCAACCATGTTGGGTCGGAATTCAAGAACTGCAATCAACATATCTTGAGGGCACCAAAGGCGTCCACGGTGGGGCTCAAAGTAGTCTACATCGTATCTGATCATGTGATTAAAAGCCTTCTCCCTTTGAATGTGCATCGGAATTCTCAGTGTTCTTTTTTTTATAATGAAGATAATCCTGCTCTGAAATCTATTAAGAACTGAGTTACGGTAATACAGTCACAAAAATTAGATTTTTAAAATTCTGCAGTAGGTGTCTGAGTAATTCCCCACAATGATCAGTTTCCACTTTAAATCACCTCCCCAAATCTTATAATGTCAGTAATTAAGGACCAACCTGTGGATGCTAAGGCAAGATAGTAGATGAATGAGCCACACTGGTTTACTATAAATGGCAACATGTACTGCAAGGAAAAAAAAAAGTTGGATGGTGAGAGCTTCAGCATTACTTAATTTAAACCAATTTCTGATCACCAGGGCCAATGCAATCCCTAGTGTTCCAGTTATTGCAATGCATATTCTTTTTCTTTTTTCAAATATGTTCCTGGGTCGAAACTATTTTAAAAGATCATTGCTAACCAATAGCTTTCTGAACAGTGTTCTATCTGAGAAGAAAATGGACATTACTTTTCCCAAATATTCTTATTTACAGAGAAGAGAAAAAGAAATAGAGAAAAGGAATTACCTCTCCATTCAGAAAGCTACTATATACTGAATCAGAATGCTAAAGATTTATCTGGCATTTAGAAGCAGTTAATCAAAACCTGATTATTAGAATAAAGTAAAAATATAATAACAATAACGATGATGTTGGAAGGGACTTTGGAGGTCTTCTAGCCCAACCCCCTGCTAGTATACTATCGTATTACAGTGTAACATAAGATTTAGAAAAAAAAATCAACTCAATTTTAGACTAATTTCCCTTGTGCATGTGAACAGGCTGGTGCAGTCCAGATATCTACCATAGTAGATTAGAAAAAGCAGTGTGAAGAATGCTGTATAAAATGGCAAATACCTTGTAATTCAGGCAAAGGAACTTTATTTC